GATGGCATGCTGAAGAGGTAATCAAACCATTTGATTCAGCTGTGTTGGAGTAGGGATGCATCTAAAAGCTGCAGGATAGTAGCTCTCGAGGACTGGGATTGGGCAGCCCTGTCTTAGAAGGATGACGAGTTCTGATGGGGGAACTTCGAGGAATGGTAAATGGCCTGCATTTGTATAGCGCTTTTCTAGTCCCTAAGGACCCCAAAGCGCTTCACACTACATTCAGTCATTCACCCATTCACACACACACACACACACACACTGGAGGAAGCCATGTTTCACCAGCAAAATAGTGGATTAAAAAGGAAGAAATAACAAAATCACCATCTCTCCTCATCTGATTTGGTGAGGAGAGATGCAACTTTAGTCATTTTGCCTAAATGATTTGAGATAGACTCATTTTTATGATAGACTGGAGGAGATTCAGTGCGCATCACAGAGGCACAAGTGCACATGGTAAGGATGGGACTTTCATGGAGCGATCTACAGAACAGCACATGCAGGTTTTATGGACAGGGTCACAAAACCGCATACTTTAGTATTAGAACTTGGAATTTATAGAGTCTAGACTTTTAGTATTTCCAAGCATTTGCCCTTTCTCTTTTCATAAACATCTCCTCCTCTTTAAACCTAGACTGTAAAATCTCAGTTTTCCAGCAAAAAAATGATAAAATTATTGAAATTATTTGACTACCCTGGGGTGAAGGGTCCAAAGAGATGATACTCCTGCTGACTATGGTGCCTCTTCTTGCTTATCAGCTGAGATGAGCAACCCGATGAGTCCTATGCTCAATCTCTTCGCTTCTGCAGCTTCGTAGATTTTAAGCCTTCATCAGTCACATTTTCACTTCATTGTCTGTGTGTTTGACCTGTTTTGTTTTTACATGCCTTGTTCTGTCTTCTAACCAGTTTTTGTCTAACATTTGTTCTGTGCCTTTTGTTCTGTCTTGTGAACCTTGCTAATTGCAACAGCTCCAAAACGTCTTAGAAGTCCTCAAATGCCTCAGCCTTTCCCTCTGCACACCACCTCCCTTTCTTCTTCCGCTCCACCCGTTCAAACCACACATATCAACACTTTCTCTTCCTCCTCTGTCTTTTTCTTCCCATCTCCCCCTTCCACACCTCCTGTTTACCTCCTGCCTGTGGCCCCTGTTCTCCCTCACTTCTTCACTCTGCCTTATTCCCCTCCTCTTCCCTCCTCCCCTCAAAGTCCTTTTAGCTGCCCTTCTTTCTTCTCTCCTCACTTTCCGCCCTCGGCCCTCTCCAAGCCCCTCCCTCCTCTTTCTTCCTCACTCCCAACTCTTCACCTTTTACCGCCTCCTCATTCTGCCTCTCCTACATCTGCTGAGTCTTCTCTCCTTTGTGCCTCTCCTCGCACCTTATCAGCTACTACTGTCCCTTCTTCTCCTTCTCCATCTTTAATATGTGCTTCCTCTCCACCTTTACTTCCTCCCTCTTCTGCACTTCCTCTCTGTCCTTGCTCTTCATCCTCTTCTCCACCTCAAAATCGCCATCCTCTATCTCCACCTCCCCCATCCTCTCCCCTCCCTCCTGGTGTTCCTCCTTACTTCAGGCAAGATCGTTCAGTTCCTGAGGTTTACATTTAGAGGCCTGTGTGCTTCTCACTGCCTTTTGTTTGAACCAGCACAACTAAGCTACCTGAACTCTTCTCAAGCTTTTGCTCATAAACTGACCTAATTACTGAAAATGAAGTCCAGCTTGTTTTAAAGTCTCCTGCCTCACTAACTTCACTAATGTTGCATTTATTTGAGTGAGGCTGGGTCTAAGGCTACGTAGGTTTAAAAAGAAAACTCAAGTGCCAATTTTAGGCTACATAAACAGTATATGCCAGGTTTTTGGTTTTATTTTTATATTTTGTGTATTTCTGTTTCCACCACTTTTTGATGTGGTCATGTCTACTCGGTAGGGCTGGTTCAAAAGTCATTTAAAAGTACTTGAAATTATTGATTATTTTTCTACTTCTAGAGGCGGCAGAACAAAATTTAAACACAACAAATCTGATGTTCGTATATATTACAGATCGAGTACAACTGGAATAGCGTTATCATTTATCCACAGGAATAAATTCCAGAGTCTGGTTTGAACTCTGGTTTGTTCTGCAAGAAGCAATCCAGTACTGGCACAACACATTCGGAGAGAAATGCAGCCAGAGCCACAAAAGTGTAGAAATATCTGTCTTAGATGGCATGGTGTACAAAGCAGGAGAGATGTTTCCTCTAAGTGAAGAAGTAGATTAATGAACTCACTCTGGACACCGATTGTGCAAACTATCCTCAACACATCGTGCATTTAAAGTAGCTGAACACCTGATGAATGGCCTGTTTTTTTTTCAGAAGAGACATGAAGGGCCCCTCTTAACAACAGGCCCCTCTTAACAACAATGTGGGTGTTTATCCTTTTTATTTCCAAACTGTATGTCCTAATTAAATTCGTAGTTGTAAAAATATGTCGCAAGAAATCAGCTGAAAGCACACTGTGACCTTTGTAGATGTGTATAGGTGTGTGTAGCATCTAAAGAGCCAGATGTGTTTCTGAGCAGTTCACAAAGATTAAATTATAGCTTAAAGGAGCAGCGGCTCCCATTCAGCCGGCAAATTCCACTGTAAATATTGCTCCATGTCTGCTCTATGTGTATGTGATTTGAGATTAAATACGGATGTAATACTTTGCCTCCATAGTCTTTAAAGGTAATGGCATTACGTATTTTTTTTCTTATTTCAATTTAATATATTTCTGAATACTAAAATTCACCCACCAAATACACAAATACCACAAGCAGAATCTAGAGGTGCAGTTCCCAGGAAGTTACCACTGGGTGTAAACAGACAAATAACTTTATAATATGTAAAGTTGTGTTTACATCTTATTCTGCTACCTAATCACTTACACTTGTGACTTTTGAACAGATGCTACCCTTAAATGTTTCAAATGTTTCTCATTTCATCACCTCCACCACTTTACTTCTCCTTCCCTCCCTCTTCCAACCCCTTTTTTTTTTTTTAATCTTTACCCCCTCTTCGATCCTCTTATCCTCTAATCCTGTACTCCTACAATCCACCCAGGCTACGACAATATAGATCTGGAGCTCCAAACCCCCTCAGACCTCAACTACGTGCCCCCAACCCCACTGCGCTCAGACGACTTCTTTAGCGAGGGCGATCCTTTAGTAGAGTCCCATAACAAGTCCATGCTTACTAGACCTAGCGACCTCTCTCTCACTCAGACCACCAGCACCTCCAGCAGCGACCCCCTCACAGTGGCCCCGGGTCCAGGCTCCACTGCCACAGAGCTACCTATTGCTGGGCCTGAAGATACAGAAACTGAGATGTTTACTGAAGAAAAAACAGGATTGGTGTGTGTAGAGAGGCCAGATAATGACAGACGGTTGGTAGAGCAATCAGGAAAGGAGACAGAAGAAGTAAAAGCAGGAGACCATCTTGTTTTGGAGAGTCAGGGAGGGGCCGTAAAAGAGAAGGCTACCGCAGACACTGGTCTTGGAAATGGAGTGGAGGAAGAAGAGGAGGAGGAAATGACGCAGGAGAGGTTGCAGAGTCTGCTGGAGGATATAAAGCTGGAAGAGGGCATGGAGGAAGAGGAGGTGTCAGAGGAGCTTGTGAATGCCATCCTTGAACAAGTACGGAAAGCAGAAAAAGACATTTATTCAGTTCCAGGCAGGAGCAGTGAGACGTCTGGCGCAATCGGGGAGTCGGCAGCCCCTGGCCCCAGCCCGGGCTCTGAGAAGGGCAGGTAGGACTTGATTTTATTTGAAATTCATTGTCACATCTTTCTGCTCCCAGGTGTATTGTCCTAAATCTATTTAACTCGTCCAGCCCTGACAGTCTAGCTGATTCGCTAGAGGAGCCCCAGGTTCAGACCAACAAACAGAATGGAGGTCAGACTGAAGCAGCCAGGGAAGGGATGGAAAAGGTGCCCAGGAGGAAGGAATCCCAGGAGGACAGCAGCACAGCGGGACCAAGCAGAGGAGACAAGGACGGAGGCAACAGGTCCCAGCACAAAGTCCAGGTGGGAATCGGTCCTTCACAGAGAATCTTGTCTTGAAACCTTGAAAAAGTCTTTAACTGTATATTATATTATTCTCCTTCTGTTGTTATGTGGGCTTAAAATATTTAACCTCTGAGATTAGCCCAATTCTTCTGTCATATGTTAACTTTCCATATGAATCCCACACACTCTGGCCTCGTTGACATTACTCTGCTGCTGGGCTGCCTTCATCAGGAGAGTGTTAGAGAGAAGGAGTCCGACTCTGATGAGGAGACCACTGTCACTACCAGGGTGATACGCAGACGGGTTGTACTCAAGGTCTGTTAGGCCTGGTGTGCAGAGACATGTTGAAGCAGAGTGCAGTGGACCGATAGCGTGTGAAGAAGAGTGATACCAGAGAGACTGAACAGAAGCTATTTGCTATGTGTGCTGAGCATGACAGTAGCAGTGTTTTTGTGCAAGTTTGTTAACATGGAGTGGAATGTGTGTGCAGCTATAGTAACTTTAAAAGATAACTGGAGACGGGATATGTGCGAGGAAACAAAGAGACATTTTTTTAGATTAACATATGACCCAAAGAGGAGTTCTAAATTTTCTCTAAATTGAAATAGAAACTTGACTACAGCTGTTTATACGTTTAGCTTTGCTATAGTATTAAGTTCTAATTGCTTGCTTGCCTTGCTTGTGCTCTTCTACCTGGCTGGTGGATTGTTGGTTGTGCTTTACCATATATATTTAATTTACCGAATAAAAGGAATGTGCCAAACTTATTCTGAGGGGGGAAGAAAAGGTGGCCTTTGATTTAAGCTTCTTTTCAGCTAGAAGCAACTAATAGATATTTTAATTATTGATGCTAAGTGCTAAGTGTTTCCAGGGAGTCATCAGTTAATTGTTTAGTGTAAAAAAATAAAATAAAAATCAGAAAATAGATTCATAAAGCCCTAAGTGAAGCTTTGATACAAATTAAAAAGATTAAAGCAGCATATATTTACTTAGGATAGCTGAAATTAAATAAACTGTGGCGATTTTTGCCTAATGCTGCTTTGGAATTGAAACACTGCCCATGTTGGAACACATTTCCAAAGTGGAAAAAGTCTGCTTGAAGATCTTATAAATTTAATAAGAATAAAAAAACTAAACTAAAGCAAGAATATAACATGTACAGTATTCACAGACTTTGCTGTGACAATGAAAATTGAGCTCCGGTGCATCCTGTTTCCACTGAAAGTACTCCAGCCATCATTCAACATTCAACACAACCTCTTCACACCCTCCACAAAAGGCCGAACTGGCTCGACACCAGTAGATACCAGTTATATTCTATATTCTTTATTGTTTTGTTACAATCTCTGGCTCTATCAAGGTTCATTTTGAGGTGATAATAAGATGCATTTGTATGGTTTTTGAACGGGGTTTCGCCTGAACTTTTGTTTTTCCATCTATGGACACATCCTTCTGAAGCTTTGTTTAAAAGAAACACTTTTATTGTATTCTTTCCATATTTCTATATTATAAATGTCTTTTAAACAGCATTTGGTGTTTCCAGTGCTTTTGCTGCTGGCTTGGGTTTTGAAGTTTGGACGTGTTGCGACGGCAGGATGCAGTATTACATTACATTATTTAACAAACCTGCCGATCTAAATACTCACCTTTCCACTTTATATGATAAATATGTTCTAGGGCAAATACCCTGGTTTTGCATCCATTGTGATTTGTGGGCTGTTTGGAAATGCTTCTTTATTTATTTGATGAATAACAGTCTTGGAGCTAACCCTACCTGCACGTTTACCTTCCTCATTTCTTTCTCACTTTTCCATCCAAATAAAAACTTTCACCCCAGGGAGAGGAGGCCAGAAACATTCCTGGAGACTCTGTGACAGAGGAGCAGTTCATAGATGAAGATGGGAATCTGGTCACCAGAAAAGTAACCAGTCTTTCTCCTCCATTGCTTTTCTTGTCTTACACCACATGTATATGCCATGTACAGCCACAGTAAAATTTAATAGGGAAAACAATGAACCATGGAAGGCACAAATCTGTTATGTGAGCTCGATCTGTTTCCCCTTTGGCCATACGCCCTTGGTTTGTGATTGATTTGTTATCTCACCCTCCAGTTTGCTGTCCATGTACAGACTAGAGGGATTAGATGACCAGTACCCTTCAAAACTGAGGGTTTGGGCCAAGGAGGGGAATTCAGATTGGACCTCATTGTCACAATGATGCCGACAACCCCTTAGATGCATGAACCAAACCTATCACATACCATCCCATTGACTTTTACACGACACCTCTACATATCTCCCTCATCCTTTTTTGCATCACTTCTCTCAACTCCCCCACCCTCCTCCTGCTAACATGCTTCTTCCCCTGCAGGTGATCAGAAAGGTTGTACGCAGAGTGTTCAGCTCAGAGGAAAGGAGGCAAAGTGAAGGAGAATTTATTGCAGCAGAAGAACCTGCTGCTGCTGGTGGGGGAGGTGTTGGTGGTGGTGTAGCCTCAGGTGGAGCTGACACTGCTTCTTCATCAGGAGCGGCAGCAAGAGCCACGGGGGGGAAGGGCAAGAAGAAGGGGAAGCGATCCCGACACAGCCACAAGGAGGAGCCTCAAAGAGTGAAAGCTGAGGTTGCTGTCGAAACAAACTGCCTGACTTAGTGAGCTGAGGTGTCTGCATGAAGCTGTAGCTTTGTGTAAACTCTTAATCAATCAATGTAAACTCTTAATCACCTTTTAGATGAGCAGAGGACACACATTCTGACAGCATTAAGGCAGCCATAAACCAAAGTAAACTGCATTCCAGTGAGGAGAGGTGTACTACAAAGCGCGATTAATGGGTTAGTGAGGTATGTTTAGCCTGGCTGGATCACCATGGCAACTTCTGCTGAACAGATAACATGGTCCAGAGTGGTTAATGTTCAGGGTTTTGTTGTAAAATTGTCTAGAAGCATCAGCATAAGTTTTAGTTCAGGTTCAAGGCCCTTCTTGCCCCAAGTGTCCTATGAGTTGAACCTGAAGCACAGTTGAGCTGCGATTAAGACCAGAAAAGCGTTTGTGATTTAAAAAAAAAAAAAAAAAAACAGCACTTAAAAGTCCAGCTAAAATTTGGGCAAAGCAGGTTGGTCAGGAGAAGCAAGAGGCAGGTGAGCAAAGATAAAATGCCATGGGCACATCGTCACTGGGGACCTCAAGTAGATTTATAAATACACATCAGTTTACGCATGTAAAAACAGAAGATGAAGATCTTGGCTAAGATTGGTTTATCCATACAAAATGTTAAAATGACAGAAGTGTCATATGTAATGACTAAATTGTGATGTTCATGCAACTTAAACTTTATTTTGACATTCAGGTTTTGTTTGCTGTCTCCTGTTTGAAAAATTGAGTGTGAGTTTATGAAATGCTGTGCAGTTTAGAACAATTTCATAACAGCAACCTTACTGTCTGAATACAGTTTGCAGTGGTTGCAGTGTGTGTTTCCTCAGTAGCAGCCACAGCCTCTAGGTTGAGACTAGGCCGAGTTTGAGAACTACTAATATCAAGTGATTCAACTAATATAGAATGTCGTTATTCTCTCTATTAAGCATGTGTTCTTTCATTTGCAAATGTACAGATGTAGTAATTTTAACATTTTTTCACTCCTTAAACTCATCTTTCCTCCAGCATGCTGCCTGATGTAGAAGATGAACCAAACTGTGCTTCATTAACACTCACCGATAATGCCTTGCCTGAGTTTAGTACTGATATTTCCTTTCTCTCTCTCTCTCTTTTGTTTTGCTTTTTCTTGTTCCTGTCTTGTGCTGAACCTCGCTGCTTTTCTTAATCTCCTTCTGCCAAGCCTGGAGACGGTGCCAACAAGAAACCAGGGAGGAAGAGTCATTCTTAACAGTAGAGCTCTCAACTACAACTGGTAAGAGGCCACTCATAAAGACACTAAAAACTCCCATAAGTTACCCAAATATTCACCTATAGACCATAAAGATTAATTATGTGTGTTTTCTGTAAATACAATAAGAATATACTATTTTTTGCTTAATATAAAGTATGGTATATAAAGGCATGTTTAGCTGAAGACTTTAATTCTGAAATTTAGAGGTAAGACCACTCAGATGTCTGTATGCTGAGTATGAAGCCATCTACCTTTTAACTCTGATGTAATCAGGAAGACAACTGAGTTTTTCAACTGGAATAAAATTGTCAGTGCTGTTGTACTCCCAGGCATTACAGTCAAGCGCACCATGCAGATCCTTATTAACAAGAATATTTGCAAGGATTTAAAAGCTAGCAATAATTTAAGTTGCTAGTTGACATCTAAATGTGAGTTTTATGTTCTAGTTAGTATTTAAAAAAATATAACCTTATGTTGTATGTAAACAAAGATGAAAACGAATCACTTGCGAGGTTTTGTAGGACACTTTCTGTTACGTTCCAGAGTTAACTAAAGCTATCAAAATGATATGAACAAACAATTGTTTATGACTTCATGTCCAAAATCTCTTTGTACTGTGTTGAACAGATACTGGAGATGAACTAGTGTCAGGTGGTACTTTCATGTAATTCCAATTTGTACCACAAGGTGGTGCAGTGAATAAATAAAACATATAAACAGGAGAATTAATTAAAAACACAATTACAATCGAGGCCAAGAAAGACAAAAAAAGATATTTAAAACTGCAATCCTAAAGCAGAAAAGTACTTTTTTTATACAACAACCAATCTGAAGTATAAACTTTCCTTTACACTCAGGTCCATGGACATCCACCTGTGACCCCCACACATGACCCTGGGAGGAAAAACAGACCGGAGCCAATGAAACCGGGAGCCAACACGTGTCTGAAGCTTTCGCTTTACAACGCATGGTTTTCAGCAAGACAACACGTTACTTTTCTTTGATTTCGCATGAGCATGTCACCAAACTCACTCACTGTTGGAAAACAACACCGAAGGACACGCATGGACGTGAGCTGGAAACTTCTTTAATCTGTGGCAAATGAAAGGCGTCTGTGACCAAAGACGGCACAAACAGCGGGGGAAAAGACTTCACTCTCTCAGACACTCGCCTTGTATGGCTTTATTTTTTCCTCCTGCACTCACGGTATTGGGGTGCACCATGTGGTTCTTTTATAAAACAAAACAAAGGAGATATAATAGTACTTGGGTGTTTTTGTTGTACATAAATGACACTGTATAAAATCTTTAAAAAAAAAGAATTGGTAGCTTCACAGATTGTTTATGCACTGATTTGAGTTGATGAAGCTTTGCAGAGCCAGTGCATTTGTATTGAGAGGTCGACACTTTTCGTGCAGCCTGGAGTGTGTCTTCTGACGTGCTCTTCCCAAATATAAAAAGGAACAAAAAAAAGCTGTATGTGAATGAAACGAATGGAGAAAAAAAATGATGCTTGATTTTCAACAGAGGACATTTTCTTTAAAGACAACAGCCACTCTGCTCTGTCTGAGGGATATTCTTCAGAGAAATGATATTTTGCTGCATGTTATGTCACTTTATTTTTAACGCTTTCCTTTCTTTCTCTTAATTCAAAGCACTGTAATACAACTTAGAGAGGGTGTGATGGTACTTCTGTCTGTGTGAGCACTCATAGTAACCCAAACATCTGTCATCTATAACTGTTTTGTTTTTTTATTTAATTTCTTTTTCTTTTCTTTTTTACAAATGAAATGACACTCCACATCCTAGTGGCGAGATAGTACAGCATCCTTCTTATGCAACAGGAAAGTACTGACACTGTCCAATGCATCTTTCAGACTAGCACATTGTTAGCTCTAGACCGCTAGCAACGCTGTGTGTGTGTGCGTTTGTCTGTGTGTGCGCGTGTGTGTTTAACATTAAGAAAAAAATCCATGCATACTAGAAGTGTATATTTAAACCTTTAGTTCTACTGTGGTTTTTAAAAGGGGACTTTTACGTTGATGATTTTTATCCTGTTTATTTGCTTCTATTTACACGAGAACAGAGAATCTCATTTTTAGCCCCATCACTCAAATCGAAATCTTTGTAATCACACACAAATCACTGTCAGTTATTAAAAATGTGACTTTCTGTTCATGTGTAAATTGTTTTTCTGTTTGGTTTTTTTTCATATGAATCCACCCTAAGCATCCATTGTTGATAATAAATCTGGTACCGACATGTATGACAAACCAACATAGCCTACACTGGATGATCCAAGTAATTATTTAAGCAGAAAAATAAATTGTGTTTAAACTGAACCTCTGCTAGTCAGTCTGATTTCTCTTTCTGGTTGCACAGGCCCAATGAAATACTGGCATGAATCATACTGATGTCTTTAAGACGTCAAGAAACCTCATGGAAACTAAAAGACAATAAAAGACCTGAAGATGTAGGCTGAAGAGCTTTGTGTATCACAACATACTTGCCTCACATGCTAGTGTCCACCAGTAAATAATGCCAAATAAATGAAATACAGTCACTAAACATGTGGCCCATTCTCCTTGTAAAGGCAGTATTACACACTACATTACATTACACAATATAAATAGTTAAAAATAATAATTGTATACACGTCTTAAACCAAATGCAGAATAAGGGTATTTAGGGGGCTATATGTCCATGCTTCCATGCCACTTGTGACCCACAATGGCCCAGTCATGATCTTAACTAAACACTGGTTATGTGACCCCGTGCATTCTGCATCTAACAAATTTTACATAAAAATATATATTTAAAAAATTATTGTACGTATAAAAAAAAGACCTTTGCAACTTTTTCAGTTATATGTCAACATCTGGCATAAATTAAACATGCAGATCATCAAGAATGTGATTTCCATACTGGATTGGTCAGGGTTAACAGGGTGCCGGTGGAAACTGTGCTACTGTTAGCTAAAGACAAATGAAGAGGAGAAGGGGAAGGCATGATGGAACCATCATTGGTAAAGAGAAAGAGCTGATGGGACATGCAGAGGGTTGGTGTAACAGAGGAGGACGCTAATGATGGGGTGAGTTGAAGGTGATCTGTTGTGGTGACCCCAAAACTGAGTAGAGAAGAAGAAAAAGAGGAATTTGACCAATAAAATCGCTGAAAAATATCATTCTGTGTTTCGCAGACTACCATGTTTCAACCGCTTGGTACAGTGAAAACCAAAGAACATCCAAGAATTCCAAATATGCAAATACAGCATTTCTTTTTGGAAAAACTAGACCAACTATACTTTTTTATCAAAATTATTGGAGATTTGTTTTTTTAATAATGTTTCAACAATAAAAAACTACTGATCGATCTATCTATAAATGAAATATACATTTATATCTGTAATTTTCATTTATAGTGACTCTGAAAAGATAAGATGTGAAGCTCTATTTAAGAAGGTATTAATTGTGAAATCATACAGAGCTGTTTTTATAATTAAAACACATACAATGATGCTGGATAAAAGAAATATCTTAATATTTTACACAAATTTTGCATATGACTTCTTAATATTTCCAGTAATTGCCCCACAATCTAGCTAGGATTCAAACAATTGGTTCATGAAAACAGTAAAATTTGGACTGAACCATCAGAGCGCTGCAAAGCTCTCAAAATATAATAAGTTCAAAATAACCCATATCTTATACTGGGAATTGGTGCAGCTCTTCTGTTAACTTCTTATCTGAAACAAGACATTTTAGCTGTCTTTCTGTCAACTTTATTCTGATTATAAAAGGTTTGGACTGCAGGTATGTGGATCTGCTCCATGACATCGTCCAATCTCAGTAGAAAAACTTTGTAAAATCCCAAGTCTGAGATTTTTGGCTAACGGGGCGTGCGTTTTGGTTTTCTATTTGCTATATTGTTACATGTTGTTGTAACTTCTGCTGCCCTCTTGGACAGGTCTATCTTGAAAAAGAGATTTTAATCTCTTTTAAATGTATGTGAATTTTTCACCTGATTGGAATATTCAAAATGAAATCTTATAACAAAAAGGACTTTAAGCCAAAATTAAAAAAAGACTGGATTTCAGAGTTAACATCATTTAATCTCTGAAACTGCACATGTTTGCCTTGATGCTCAAATGAAATCTAACAGTAAGACCTGACTGATGTAACCTGACTGTTTGGATTAATAAGTAGTACCTAATCTCAGCCTTAAAGACTTTAATAGACTGATCAGCTGGATGGATTCATCCCCGTGAGTTATTAGATGTCTTTTCAGTTCGTCTTTCCTCAGGAATGTTTTCCCACGGGATGTGTCAGCCCTCCTTTGTGGACACCCATGTGTTTGGTAAGTGAAGCTTTTCCCACAGACATTACACAGATAGCGCTTCTCACCTGTGTGGGATCTCATGTGGATCTTCAGCGCGTCGGGCTTATACAACTTTTTATCACAGATCACGCTTTGATGTGTGTTTTCAGAGCGCCCCTTTGCCCAAACTTTTTCCTGCAGATCCTGCACAGAAACAGCTTCTCCTCCGTATGGATTCTCATGTGAGCCTTCATGTATTCTTCAAAGCTAAAGCTCCGACCACACATGCTGCAAACACATGGTCTCTCCCCAGTGGGACCTCTCATATGCCCCATCAGATTTCCATTTTGAGTAAACGCTTTCCCGCAGACAGTGGAGACAAATGGTTTCTCTCCTGTGTGTGTTCTCATGTACAGCTCCGTGTGTTTGTGGCCTTCAAAATGTTTGCCGCAAACTTCACAGTCATTTATTTGGGGGTAAGCTTACAAGCGAAGCTTCAAGGTTTCCTTGGTCTCAAAATGTTTCCCACACACGCCACACATATCTGCATCCTTCTTGCCTTCCTGCGCATGCTTCAAGAAAGAGGTAGCAGAAAGACTTGCTAGAGAAATCCCTCTTCCTGTGTCCCTCAGACTTTGTTTTTTCTGTCCGTTTTATCACTCTGTTCACTTTTCTTCCAGTCCTCATCACTCTCACCCTCTGTACTCTCAGCATCAGAAAGGTCTGCCTCAGATGTTTTCCACAGACTTCACAAACATCTGCACTTTTTTTTCATGCGTCAGTGCACATTTCAGAAAAATGCATCTGTACTGGAAAAACTCTGCAACAACTGCATTCAGTATTTGGTTTTTGTTTGTTGTAGCTGTTCTCTGAGAACGATTTTTCATCTTTTTTGGAAAGATTTTCCATTCACTTTGTAAACATCCATACCTGGAGTTCCTGTCCGAGGTGTTCTTGGCTTTGATTTAAGTAGCTCATCGTTTATATCTTTATCTTGACTCCCACCTTTTGTATTTTTGTTGACAGTACCTTTAGGTTGGCAGGTGGCACACCTAGGTGCTCTCCTTCCTTCTCCATTTCCACTGTTGTTGAGGTCCCCTTTTCTGCTTGTTGGGTTTAGTAAAACTGTGAAGGCTTGCTGTTGATAAACTCAGAGTCTATCTCTGTATACTTGTCTTTAATCTGTCATAGGTCAGGCTTTGTCCCATCATGCATCTGCTACTCAGATGAAATGAATTGGACCCAAACAGTGATACTTTATCTAAAAGGAATATCAAAGAGGAAATCACAAAAAAAAAGAAGAAGTAGGAAGCAATTATATTTCTGACATGTATTAATTTGTGTTTCTGGATGTAAATTAAATAGTCCTGCTTTTAAAAGGCAAAAAGGTCCCCCATTTAAAAGCTGGATGGGATGGGGGTGGTGTAAATAATGTCACACAGTGCAGTTAAAAACTCTCCAAATGTGTTAACCTTGGCTGCATTATTTATTTTCCCCAAAACTACTTACTACTACTTACGATTTAGACACTAAAAGCTACACAGAGTTATTTTTCATTCATTATCCTTAATTTATCCAGGTAAAAGTTTCATTAAAAATAAAGAAACCGAATGACATGAAGTAATTTTACTTTTCAAGATCAGTTCGCACTTTGCCGTGTAACCTGTGTGTAGGCAAAGGTATGACACAAAAGAGCACAGTCAAAAAGTAGTGAATGAAGCCTCCAGAGACCAAAAATTCAACCAAATACAGAACTGATCCGAAGCCTATAAAGCTCTTAAAAGTGTTTGCACCCAAACTCAATCTGGAAGGACTAATTAAGTTTTAAAAAATACAGAATCACAAAAATTAGGACAAAAGAAGAAATGGAAGGCCTAAAAATACTATCTCCAGCAGGTAAACAGTATCTGAAAGTCATGTCCTTAAGAAACAGGACAAAAATCCATCAAAGGACTTGATGCAGGACCTGAAAGATGCATCTGGCCTTTCAGTTGAGGCACCTGCTGTTCACTGAAGCCTCATTAGTGAAGGTCACCCTTACTTACAGAAGCTTCAATAATAAAAATGTCTCCACTTTTTGCTCAGTATGAACCATATAAAAACAAACTAGCTGAAGGCAGGTCACCCTGATAAATGTCACTACTGAAGCAGTCATTTCTTTTAAAAGGTGTCTTGTGTTTCCAAACCTGGAGTGTGCAGCATTTTCTCCGTTACGTCCTCCACAACTTCTGTCAGTCTCTCCGTGACCAGCCTCCATTTCACTCATAATGGAGCACAGAGGCATTTATTTCCATTTCTGAATATTTTTATAACTTCTACAGCTGCATAAACACTTTATCACACATGCAACAAACTAACAACTTGAAAGTCTGAACAAACTGAAAAGGAGCCATGTTGCTTCTGGTGTTTTCTTCATTTTCAAATTGAAGAAATACTTTTGGTCAATGGTGCAACACTGCCACCTTTTGATATGTGGTCACTGCACTGAGCAGGTAATACAGTATTACTGCTATACTTCATTGTATCTAAAAGTACAAGGAAATCGTTGTACATTTTACTATGACTAGATTTAATTCAGAGCTTTATTTAGCATATTTCTTGGCACACATTCAACAAGGTGCTGGAAACATTTCTCAGAGGTTTTTGACCATAATAACATGAAAGTGTCACACAAGTTGCTGCAGATTTGTCAGGTTTTAGTTGTATTCATTCTGTCACATTCTAATATAATTCTATAAAAGCATGTCAGTCTTTCAACTGCCATGCTCCACTACACAGCAGACAAGACTAAATAGCCAAAAATTTAACACAGACATGGCAATAACTGAACCTCTGCCCTGTGACAGGGCTAACACATCAGGAGTGCAAACAGGTAGGCAAATTCATTATAAAACCACAAAAATGCAACGGGACCCACACAGCAGTCAAGACTGACAAGAATTATCCAAATATGCATAATATTTTACCAGGCCCCAAAGCCCGAAATTGCATAGTATTAAACATAGTCAAGCACTCTTTCGCAGCAAAAGAAGTAGAGTGAAATTAATTAATGATAATATTGGGGGGTCATGAGGGGGTACTGGTGTCCAAAGTGTTCAATATGAGGAAGGTTTTTAACCATGTTTTTAATTGAAGTTGGAGAATGGTCACATGGATGAGGTAAAGTTTTTAGGATTATGAAGTTGCTCCTTAAACTTAATAATTTTACAATATAGTAGTTATTAAAAATATTGTGATGTAATTATATTAACTAATGATGGGTAGAAGCTGATAACTATTTCTGGCCACTGTAGATTATAATGCTTGATCATTATTTAAAGAATCTAAACCTTATTGTTTATCACAAATTAGAACAACAGGAATGTTGTGTGTTGGGGGCGGGGTTTGTTTGTTTTTTTGTTTGTTTTTTTAATTGGCAGGAGGTGCTGCGATGTCTTACTTGTGCGACAGAGGGTGCTGCAATACCCTCTAACAGTTGAACAAGTTACCTAATAAAGTGACTGATGAGAGTAAAGGGAAGTGAGACATCCTGCATATAACGGTACAGCAGATGCACCAAGAGGACCAACTGAACATTCTTCCCGATATTTTTCCGTTTTACCTGGTACTTTAATATTTACCTGCATCTCTCCGTCACACACACCTTTGCTTTGAGCGTCCAGACCTCCCGTGTCTGAGAGAGATGCAGTTAGTGGGTATTAGGAACTGCGTGAGCGCATCCATGTGCGTCATTGAGGTACACACCCGCGCTAAATGAAGAATGTGACAGACTCAGTGATTGCATCGATTTTGAGAGCTTGTTATTCTCATTCCTGATTTTTTAATGCACAAATTTGCCAATGACAATCCAGCCACCGTCTTTGTCTCTTTATGTCTGCACGGATGTTTAGCAAAATTCTACCGCTTTGTGATATCGGACAAATTCTTATTAAATTAAATTTTCTATCAAACTTTATGCATTTTTATGCAACTGCAGCAAATCTCACTTTACTTGGTGTTTTTCCTCTTGTGTCCCACTTAACTGTTCATCAGGCATGTCACGTGTGTATTATGCAAAACACAGAATGGCAAATATTGAATGTTCAGTGTGCACTTTCGGCCCCGTGTGCCTGACGGGCCCACAGACACGGGTATGACGTGGGAAATCGCTGTCATCACTGCAAGTCGAGATAACGGATCTGAGTTAATTATTGATATCATCCCGAAATGTTATCTTTATCATATGAGGTTATACAACAGCCAAATGGGACACGGGGTCTCTGGGGGGGGGGGGGGGGGGGGGGGGGGGGGGGGGACTGTGTGGAGGACGAGCGAGTATATTCTTGATCTATTCAACATCAGGTCTGTTCTTCAGTGTTCAAGATTTACTGCTTATCTGATCCCATAGGAATCCAATAATAGAGCAAAGCTGGAAATGTCTTTAAACAGTGAGCTTTTATTTGTGTCTCTGGCAAAAGAGGGGAAAAAACAACAACAAAGATGATGAAGGCTCATCTCAGGTGTTCAGCTTCTTCTTAACTGTATTAAATTCCTATGGATCTAATATGTGTCGATGTAAAAACATATTAAAAAACTGTCCAATTGTATGCCAGTGCATGCATTTTTCTCCACTATAGGCTAATTTATCAAACTATATTGTTTGATTTGCATATCCAAATGGAGGCAGGATAGAATAAGTACATGTAAGTACATTTAAGTACTTAGTACTTTCATTTTCATCTACTTTAAGAATTTACTTAAAGTAGATGCTATAATTCAGAGAAAAATATTGCATTTTAAACAACATTATATATTGGAGTATTAGAATTGTAGTTAATGTAAAAATAAGAATGAATAAAATGTAACCCATTTAAAAATGTTTGTGGTGTATGTGTGTGTGTGTGTGTGTGTGTGTGTGTGTGTGTGTGTGTGTGTGTGTGTGTGTAAATATAACAATTTTCTGTTGTTTTTTTCTAACAAAAAAGTAAGTAAGCATTTTAAAGTTGTATGTAATTAGTAACTCATTCAATTTACTTTTATGTCATTTCAGCTTTTATCGTTTTGTTGTTTTATTGTCTAAACTTTATTCTCTTCTTTCCTTTTTACTGTTTTAGTAAACAGATTAAACCAGGGATGTCAAACTCATTTTACATCATTTTACAGCTCATTTTGTTCAGTAAACAAAGTTTCTGTCATTATACACATGATAAATGTGTATGATGACAGAAAGACGTATGGATAGTTCATTGCACTGCCCTGTAATTATAAAATATAAAGTTTTTTCTTAGTTTACTGTGAATAACAGTAACTTTCCTATCATTTAATTGTTTATTATTTTGGTGTAGGATGAATGACAATGAGGGTAGGAAGTCTTTATCAATAGGAAAAGCTGTAAAATGTGAAAATACTGAAAATACTGAACATACTTTTTAGTATTAAGTTTAAAATGTATACATTGCTTCACATGATCTAAAAACTGTCCACTTGGCTGGATTTGAGTCTTCACCAGGCCAATTATGGCCCTGGGGCCTTATGTTTGACACCCCTGGATTAAACTGATGAGCCCCTTTTAATATTTGTGTATGTATTTTTTTTTTTTTAATCTCTGCACCTACTGTACCTTTTATTTCTGCACATATAGTATATTTTATTCTGCATATGTGTTATTTATTGTTGGTTACTGCTTTCTTTTCTTTTAGCACTGATGTGGGACAGTACTCCAATTTCATTGTTGTACAGTGCATGACTGTGCAATGATAATAAATTGTAAATAATGAGTGTTTGTTTTCTGCTTATTTTCTTTTAATTGAGATTATTCTGAATATTATACTTATTGTGTGATTTTTTTTTTAAGAAAGCTGAGTATCTGAGTAAAATTTGGAATCGGTGACTTTTTTCAATTGTGGTGCACATATTAAAAAAATACGCTAACAGATATTCCAGCGCTGGTGAGAAAAACAGAATAAATCTAAGTCTTAGTCTAAGTAGAAGAAAATGGTCATTAGTCAAGTACTAAAGGAACATTCCAGTAATTGCACATTTTTAAAAATGAACCAAATCGGGTTTTTTTAACATTTACAAAATTTTTATTTAAAAATATTTCAACAGTCCCAAAAATACTTTCTATGACATTGAAAAAATACATTACTAATACAGTTAAAATACTATACTGAAGTCGTGAATGACCGTCCAGGACAAGCGTCATTATCGTGTTGTCGCATATTCAAAATAGTTCTTTGTGAGTGTCACTGGGCAGCCTGGATAGTGCTTTCACTTAGTGTCACACAATGTTCAAGGTTCAGTGTCCAAATAACACAAAATGCATTTTCCTGTTGATCTCAAAGCTTTTCCTGAGGATTACGTGGCAGTGTGGATAAAACAAGCACCAAAGGAATGTGTTTCAATAGGAAGAGATTTCCTTTTCATTAGTCTTTGTGATATGAAGTTGGTGCTCACACTGCCTTTTTGTTGTGCTGGCTCAGAGATCGGTTCACACAGTATGGGATGATACTGACAGTGACCAGTGGCACAATGGCACTCTTGCAGAAGGACAGCAGGTAGAAGAGGGCCGCGGTATGTGTAGGAGGCTTGAAGGAGTCAAACAGGTGCAGCAGGAGCAGAGAGCTGATGATGCATCCTGCTTTGACCAACAGGCTGCTGCTCTTTTTGGTTTCGGTGTAGAGGGGAGAGTGCAGACCCAGACCCAGGCCAAACAGCGTGCCCATGTTGCGCAGGAGGCTGGCAAAGGGCGTGGTGTCCAGGTGGACCCACTCTGGTCTGATGCACCACTTCTGGGCTTTCTCCATGGTCCACAGCAGGTCCACACCCAGAGCTTTGAGCAGCACATAGAAGCCAACAGCGAAGGAGGTGAGGAACAGAGTCGTGTAGAAATACTTCTTCATGCTGGCGCTGTAGATCCACTGAGTTCTGTTAAAGGCCTCAGCCACAATCATACCTAGAAAACAATGATCCACATTAGGAAAGCAGAGGCGGATATTTCGCGTTACTTATTATACCGCTGCAGGCTTAATAACTGACTATATTTCTGACTATATATTTTACTGAATGACTGAGGCATAGCCAGCTGTTCACTGAAACTGTAAAAATACTCACCTGTGATAAGACCGGCGATGACCTGGTGGGGGAAGTGGGCAGCAATAAAGACTCTAGAGAGGCAGACACACACCTGGACCCCACAAAAAAGCGTCCACAGAAGAGCCTTCAGATACCTGTTGAAGTACAAATTCACACAGCTTAGATTCATTGATTTCCAGCAGCTCAAGATTACATGAAAGAAAATCTTTTGAAGCACTGTAACAATAAACAAATTTATTCTTCTCTTCTCATGAGAACTTCAGCTGCCTGCACGTCAAAACAACCCGTGTTTAACACCCTGTTTTCAGTCAATACTTCTCAGAAGTCAATGATCAACCCCAGCACCGAACAGATAGCGTGTCCAGAGCGATAAGCTCTGAATGGAGCAAAATGGTAAACAACACCAAAATCGGCAGGGCCAAGAAAGGAAAAATAAAGTTATAGACTCACCACTGACTGTTTGTGGATTTGTTGCTGGTCATGATGGCGAGGATCGAGGTCACCAGGGTGTAGTAGACTCCTGCAGCTCCCATAGCATGGCCAGAGGGGCTGCCTAGGTAACACAGACAGAGGGAGGAAGGCAGTTATTAACATGTGGGCCAGAGCAACCTGCACTGCTCATTCATTATATTCTTTTGTTTTGTTGTTTGTTTTAACCTAAGTAATAAATGAATGAAAAAGATCGCCACTATTTTATTTTAACTTGATTTTAAACAACTCAATAAGCTCATATATTTGGCTGCTGTCCAAATAACCTAACTGCAAATAACGTAACATGCATGTTTATGGACTGTGTCACAGGGGAAACATGCAAACTCCACACAGAAAGGCAGACAGAAACCAGAGGATACAAAAGAAACGTTCTTTCTGTGATATGTACGAATTAAGCACCATATCACCTGACAGCATTAGGGCTTTATCTTGAGGATGAGTGCCAAGATCTAGATCTTTAGAATGATAATTTATTTGATTCGGCCAATTTACTTCAAAGTAAACTTCAGGCAGGAACACATGCAGAGTGAGAGGAGCTGTGGACTAATGGGAGTCGGTTTATTTTTACCCTCACGCAAGTTAATGCAGCCGTGCATGAACAGTGGTGTCTCTCACCTGGTCCAGTCTCACAGGTCATTGGGTACTGCTCGATGTGAGGGGGCACGGAGTTTGCATAGTAGGCTGTCTCGTGGACCCACCAGTACGGCCTCTCTCCAAACAGAATCCTGAAGAGGACAGCAGAAACATGCATTGAGTTACGGTCTAAAGAAAGCTTATTTCACACGATTATATATCAGTTAAAAAAATACGCTCACCATTTGAACACTAAATTAAGCCAGTCTCCGATCACAGCCACCCAGATCAGCTTGATGCCCACTGAAGCCCGCAGGTGAAACCAAAGGGGGAAGAAGATGAAGAAGGTGTTCCTCAGATCAGCCGCCCAGGAGACCCAGAGAAACAAGCCCTGGGCATCTTTGTAGTTGGTCTGCAGGTAGTAGGTGCTGCTCACCCCGAAACCCTGCACGGCGTCCATCACGGCATTAAGCATCTTAGCGTTAAGAGGAAGAAATCTCAGTCTAGTGATGTGTGAGTGGAAGAACAGAGAGTGCTGTTATCAGTGAGACAGCTGGCTGTTTTTATAGTGGACGGACCCACTACCCAAACGCATGCACACGCTGATCTTTGGACCTTACGCATGTGTAATAAAACACTGGCAGTCACTAGAGTTTGGGAGGCATGTCACACAAACAAGTTGGGAAGATAACAGGAAAACAAAACGTCAATCAGTATCTTAGAATCACTGTACAGAGAGAGTCACAGGAGAGAGGAAGTCAATCGATCAGTGGCTGTCCTCCTCAAGTGTGACCCAAATTAAACACTTTGCAGAGAGATTTTTTTTCTGCTGCCCCACAGACTATTTTTAAATGTCATCTTCGTCTTCTTCATTTTTGTCCACATGGCTTTGACTTTGGCATTAATAAAGGATAGCCGTGTTTTTCATATTTTCCCTTCTTACATTCTCACATTCTGCACATTCTCACTAATAATTTATCAGTAATGTCATTGATTTTTTTAGTGAAAACATGCCGCCGTTCAGAATGATGGAGTAAGCTATTTCTATATTACATAAGAAGATCAATGATTAAATGAGTGAGTTTGGGATGAAACAAAGCTGATGAGATAGTTGGTGACAAAACAGAAAAAGAAAAAAATAGATAGCAGGTGGAACATAAGGTACTGCACTCTTATGAAAGAAAGGTCTGGTGGGGACATCTGCACAGATGAGCTCATATTTTGTTCTGTTTCCAGAGATATGTTTACGAAAAGTTCAAAACCATTTTGTTGTTTCTCACATTGGGGTTCAGGCACAAGTAGAGATAACGGGTCTTTGCTAGAAGTCTGCAATCTGTCCATGGGCAGCTGTTGCTTTCTGTTACGATAGCTTTGAGCAAGGGGGCCCCCTGAGGTGTAAAGGTTAAGTGACCTGTCTGCACCGTTGCAAAGTTAAACAAACTTGCTAGCCTTGAGTAAAGTCCAGTGGGAATCATTCAGTGGAAGAACAGACAGGACGGCCTCAAAGAGCTTTGCTGAAACCTAACCAAGAAAAAAACCAATAAAGAGACAATATTTTCACAGCATCGTCCTCAGAAAGAGGTCTGGGTTGTGATATCATGGATCTTCTACACAGCTGGGGTGTTGAGCTGGCTGTCTATCTGCAGACCAGATATGGCAAATATGAAGGTTTGTTCGACCTGGCATCCACAGTGGCCGATTTGCACACCACGTTCTTCTGGTTGTTCCCGATCTGGTTCCACCTGCGGAGGGACACGGCACTCAGGCTCATCTGGGTGGCTGTCATCGGAGACTGGCTCAACTTGGTCCTAAAATGGTAACTGGGTGAACGGGTCCAACTTGAATTAAACTTAAAACTTAAACATTAAAAAAAAGGAACGGTTGCATGATTCGTTTCCTGTTTTTTTGTTTCACTGTGGCAGGGTTCTATTTGGGGAAAGACCTTATTGGTGGGTTCACGAGACCAAGTTTTATGGAGCAGGACCGGCCCCTTCACTCCAGCAGTTCCCCATCACATGTGAAACTGGACCAGGTAGAGCTCATGACAGGCATGCGGACCGCATGAAAACTGAACAGAACTAGTCTGTCATAATAGAATGATAAGATTTATTTGGCACAGTACACAATTAGTCTGATAAATACTCCAGTACATCATTGCCAGGTGATAGCTGTAACAATTGGCAACTGTACACGACTTTCTGTGAATGGGTATGACTTTAATGGTGATAAATAGGTAATAAACTTGTAGTGCCTTTTATCTTGCTCCAGTTTCTTTGAGAGATCTCTGTCCTCATACTAATAGTAGAAGGAGAGGTAACAAGGTGCAAGTGTTTTTCTTCAGTCTTCAGTTTCCAGAACGTATTAAACGTTCTGGAAACTGAAAGAAAAAGATAAAAGATAACAACAACTTTCAGCAATATATGACATATTCAAACCACCTCAGACTTGGTGTTGCGCTTATTCTGGTCACCAGTCTGACGAGGATTGGTCGTCACGATAGATGAAGAACCGACTGATCGGTTTTCACTCTAAATTAGAAAATACTAAGCCCAATTTCTTTCTTTGCAGGAAGTCCTTCAGGTCATGCCATGGGCGCAGCTGGTGTCTGGTATGTCATGGTAACAGCACTGCTCTCTATTGCAAGAGAAAAACAGTGCCCCCCATTGCTATACAGGTGAGTCTGTGTTAATACAATCACCTTTTCTGGCTCTCTGGAGTCTTTAGGTTCTGTGCACCTACAGTGTTGTCCCTGTCAGATTTTTGTATATAGGCCTGTGGATGCTAATGGGCCTGGTCGAGCTGGTGGTATGCATTTCCAGAGTCTACATGGCTGCTCACTTCCCACACCAGGTTATTGCAGGAATCATTACAGGTCAGTCCATCTAAAGAACTCTAGTCGATAAAGTGTTGACTTTTACAAAGACTTTGATGTGCAGAATTTTCATAAAAACATTTTGCGAGGGTTGGAAATTAAGTTTACTGAGTGATTATGTAGCCTACAACTACCAATATCATATTTTTAAGAGCAAATGCCAAAGATCAAACAAAGAAATATTGTAGAAGAAGAATTAAAATATGGCTCAGGTGTAAATGCAATCTCAAAATTACAAAAATATGATATATATCTTAGACCATTTTAACTTCAAATATTGTTTTATTGAATGTACATGTTACGCATTGTCCCTGTTTAATAAACCACCTTGTCTGTTTTCGTCTTAGGCACACTGGTAGCTGAAGTTGTTTCCAAGGAGAAATGGATCTACAGCGCAAGCCTGAAGAAGTACTTCTTAATTACCCTCTTCCTCACCTCCTTTGCTGTTGGCTTTTATGTGCTCCTTAAAGCTCTGGATGTGGACCTGCTGTGGACCATGGAGAAAGCCCACAAGTGGTGCATCAGGCCAGAGTGGGTTCACCTAGACTCTGCCCCCTTTGCTAGCCTCCTGCGGAACATGGGCAGCCTGTTTGGTCTGGGCCTCGGTCTGCACTCACCGTTCTACAAGACAACCAAGATGAGGATTATGAGCGCCCCTTTGAGGATTGGATGTATTGTCATCTCTGTATCCCTGCTTCACCTGTTAGATGAATGGACATTTTCCCCTGAAAACCATATGACTTTCTATGCCCTTTCCTTTGGTAAAAGTGCCGTTGCACTTTTAATCCCAACTACTTTGGTGCCTTGGGCTCTCAGCAAGATTTACCCTGTAAAGACAGAAGGCAAAAACTTGTAGCTTTGAGGCAACTGGAGGATTAATGTTCTATATTTACAAAGATTCTTACTTCTCATTTTTAATAGACATGGATTAAGCCTCATCTGTACTGTTCACTGTTTTTTTTTCTGTTTTAATCTGGGTCTAGGTTAACTCCATATCTATGAAACTTGCTATAGAGTTTTTGGAATGTCTGAAGATATTGTGCTGGCCTTGTTACCATTTAGGAGCAGAGGGAAAAGGCTACTTTACTGATTGGAACAATAACATTTAATTGGATGTTACCATTCCCAGAATCTAGACTACTTAGGGACAGAAAAAGGACGTAGACACCCAACTAGCACTTTCAGATAATTGCTGTAAAGCTCACTGATAGACCACATTTGTTCAATTTGAAGAAATAAGAAGCGTCCCCTTCACGGTATGAGCAATAAAGGGTAAAAGTAAAACACAAAAAGTGGTGTTGTTTTTTTGGATATGCTAAGCTAAGCTCAATCTTTCCTGGATCTACAAAGTGCTAGCAGCCTTCTAATTTAGCTGGGTTTAAGTAAAATATGAACATTTTTCTACAAATGTTTTCTAATAATTGTTTTCTAAATGGTCTTATTGGGACTTCTGCTACAATTATTACAATTAACCTCCTTGAAATTGAGCAATGGTTTATTTTTGTCCATCAAATTACATTTAGTCATGTTTTCATGTTTAGAATAACTGTCTTTTCAGTGTCTGTAATATTGTAAGCTTCTTTAACATCCACAGTATATATGAGATAAAGATTTTTACACATACACGCAGCCACCACCTCAGCAAAAAAAGTATTTTTTAAACAAATAAAAACTGTTTCTTGTAATCATGTTTTCGTGCTTATTTGAGAAGTGCGGTGCAGCCCTGGCAGTTTTCTCAGTATGTCTCAGACTGATACTGATTAATTCTCTGGCCAGAACAACCATTAAATATTAACCAGAGCATGCTCCACTCACTCGGCAGTCCCACATAGTGACACTGCCTCGCACCACAGCCATGCGCTTTCAAAGGTACATGAAGGGTCAAGGGGCAGAAAGCGTTGCCGACAACACGTGGGCCTCATAAGGCTTTAAAAATAGAACCTTGTTCAGGTGACGAACTACCGAAGCAGCTTTGGATGTATGGCACTGAGATCAGCAGGATTGCAAACAAAGGTCACTATCATATTATCACAGACACACCTCTATAAAACCGCTAATTACATTGTGAAACTGCAACGTAAAGTCCAACTGAATGCAATCATAGGTCACCTAAAGTTGCTGTGGTAATGAGAAAAAGTAGGAAACTGAAGGTAGTCGCTGTGGTAACTTTGCTGGACATGAAGTCCTGCATCAGATAACTTAGATCTCGTAGATCTAAACATCATGGAGCCAGTCTGGGATTACATAAAGAGACTTAATCTACCAAAGAAGCATTCTTGGAAGAGCTTGGAACAACCAAACTGTAACATAGCTTAATAAAGCAGATAGAGACTGTCATTATATGGCATTGTTTTTGAGAACAGCCCCACGTTATCATGCCTCAAAGGTTTGATCAGCATTGCACTGTTTTACAAAGTAAATCATACTTAATCTTAACAGGACCCAGTGATTATCACGACACATCCTTTTTTGATCATTTTATCTCATTGTCTTCTTACGCTGTTCTAGTTATTTCCGGTTCTTATCTCAAGAAGCTATATGGGAGTTCTTTGTACAGGTACGCTGCATTGCGTTTGTGTGACTAGGAGGCAGGGGGACAGAGGGTATAGACCTCACAACTACGTCAGGGACGTTGAGTAACTGTTTACATTAGTTTACAGTCACAATAGTCAGCTCGCCTTGGTTGTTCTCCTCAATATCTTCTCATCCTCACATAACCTTTTCTATATTTACTTAAAGATGCAGCTCTGGACCAAATAAATAAATAAAAAGAAGTGTTGGCATAAAAGGTGCTTCAAAAAACACGCTTCACAAATATGCACAGTCTAGTCTGATCAGTGAAGTCCTTCATGCCCCTTGTCAGCTTTTCAAAGTTAAGAAAAGCATTAAACTTTGGGTGTTAGTCTAACTGCAAAGAGTGCAAGTGTGTAAGACTTACCTCTGACAGATACAATTCCCATATTATGCCTTAAACCTAAAACTAGCACCAAATTAATACAAACTGAACTAATTAATCAAAACTAAACAGAAGTAAAAACAATACCACAACAATACCAAATGTTAAAAAAGCTAATGACAAACACAAAACTGTAACTACATCTCTTCCCCTCTATCTCTGCCTGCTTCCCCGTCTAACTTCAGAGTCTCTCTATCAATAAGGCTAAAAAATGCCATAATAAATAATTTAAAAAAAGAAACATATGCTTTGTGATCTCCTGCTGTTGCTGCAGCTTCAAGGTTCAATATGTTCTTCTACCTGGTTATTACAAGGAGTTATTTCAGTTTCTTTTCAATTCTCTTCTGACCTTTGGCATTTTCTCCAACAGAACTGCCGCTCACTGGATATTTTCTATTTTTCAGTCATCATCTGTAAACATGAGGTGGTTGTGTAGGAACCGCCTAGCAGTCAGCACTTTCTGAAATACTCAGACCAGCCTGTGTAGCATCAACATTCACATTCAAAGCTGCTTAAATGATCCCGCCCCCAATTCTGATAATCAGGTTGAACTTCAATTGGCTCTCTTGACCATGTCTGCATACTTGAAAGTGTCGAGTTGCTGCAATGCAGTTGTCTGATTAGATATTTCTCTTAATGAGAAGTTGAAAAAGTGCGCCTAATAAAGTAGCCAATTAATCTATAATATCATAATCTGCTGGTTAGTTAAATTTTAGGAATCTCAAGTTTTGAGTTGCTTAACATGTGAGTAAAGTTGCCTCAAAACCTTCCTATCTGACACCCATTCAGTGTGATCCCATTAAGCACCACTTGATCTTTAATTTTTAAACTGTGGATTTGCGTTTATATATATATTTGGGATGCTGACTTCTGTGTGAAATAAATGCACATGGGACAAAGGATTTGATATTTGAACACACAAAAGTCGGGACCTTTACACCTTGGCTTAAACTAGCAAGCACTTACAAGCCACAGCGACATCTGCAGGTCAAGAGGAAACATTGTATCCATGTCACACCACTATCTGATGTTTTGCTTCAAACTTCAAAACAAAAATAAAAAACAAAACAAAACCCTACAACATGCCTCCAAAAGTCTTATCAAAAAACAGTCTTTTATTCAATACAATGAATGCTCCAACATAAAAGCTTTTGACTCGTGAATTTTCACTGAAATCATTTAAGCCCACGACTTAAAACTTGCATCGTTTTCAAATTTGTGATATCTACACGTCGCAATGTCTAACATTCGCAGAACAAATTAACAGCATGTTTTGAATTTCCTATGAACTACTGTACTGATGATGCAGCAGGAGTCCAATATAAGACAAAATAATTAAAACAGTAACAAATAATGGGCAACAATAATGACAAACCACTTTGCTCTGAATATTTAAGAGCTACAAATGAGGCCGTTCACGAGGATCTGAGGACAAAATGTTTAATTAAAATTAAAAAATACAAAGCGCTTTTTGATATCAGAAGCCCCTTTCAGACATGCACTTTTCAAATAAACAGCCATCTTAACTTTACCGAGCCAGACTGCTTAACACTTTTATTCACTCTGCAAAATCCTGAACTCATGCGGTAGCAGACAGGCATGCGCAGGTCCTGAACGGCAATAAGACCATTTTAATAGTATTTTATCTCATCAGCACCAATTAAATCATTCATCTGGGATTACTAACCCAGGAAAGAGTTTTATCCTTTCCGAGCCCGAGTGGGAATGACGGAGTACAGCTCCTTGCACATACACAGAGGCCCTGCACTCAGAAAGAGCTGCAAGTGTGGTGACACTTCACCGCTTATACTGATAATACTAGCTGCCACATATCGCATGCATACAAGAACTTCTCTGTAAATTACGAACAAACATGAGGAACATTAACACAAAATTGATGAGTGCATGACAGACTGCCATCAGTTTAATAGCAATGATATCTGGCGCACGTCTGAAAAGGGCTTATGATCTGTCTCCCCATTTTCTGAGTGAATACTCTTCAAACGGTTTAAAAACAATATTTTACAATTAAAACAAACAAAACAAAACATGTGTCCATCTATAGAAGCTATGTCTTTGTATTGGGCTGTCTTGATTGTATTGGAGAAGGTGAATGTCTAGCTGTAGTCCTGCGGACCAGGGCCCGGCTACTGTTGCTCAACAGGCATGGTGAAGAGACGAGGGGGCAGACGGCGTGGGGTGGGTGGGTGGATGCAGAGACAGCTGGATGAACATCAGTACAAAGCGTCAGCATTACTGCTTCGAGGCCTCTTGATCTTCTCAATGTTCTTCAGGATCATGTCGTGTAACGTTACCTGGAAACAAGCAAACATATCGGTTATTCTGCTTTCTGAATGCAGGCAAGTATAAATAGATGCTGATAAATAATGAAGGCCACAACATACGTATTGATTTCTGAGCTCCGAAACTATGATTTTCAGACTGATGTATTCCTTCTCGTCAATCTCGGTTACTGTGCGCCGATAGTCCTCCTGTTTAAAAAAGTTGATTCTATGTTTATTTTTTCTTTTAAATATAAAACAGAACTGCCGAAGTCAGTGGAAATTTTAGCAGATAGGCTGATATCAGAGTTTGTCATTTCACTAAAGGATAATTGATAATAAGAACTTTCAATTTTGCAACAAGACATTTTAATCAACTTTTATTTAACCACGATGCACCTTGAGATTAAAATCTTTTTCAAGGGTGACCGATACAAAAATTGTTTCATACACATGCTTTAAATTCTTCCAGATATACAAACACACTCTGCTTTAAACTCAGCAGCACTTACATCTGCTCCTTTCTGTGAGGAAGAACACTGCCACAGCCTTTACAAAAAGACCTTGAGTGGGCCACTGGTTTGGATGTTAATGATCTAACAGTCAGAAACTGACTCCACGAGGGTGGCATGAGGGCCAGCTGCAACTGGCTGCTATATATGTTGTAAACCACTAGATGTCACCGTTTACAGCCTAAAACCAAAGACCACATATTTTTAAAGGCTTTCTCTTTCAATATTTCTTATAAAAAATGCAAATAGTTATTTTACAGCCGTAAGTGTATAGGTTAATTATCCCAAATGTACAAATCATCTGTAATCCTTCTCTTCTCCTTTTGTATAAAGGAAAAACTCTTGAATGAAAGAAATTGTTTTAAAAAAATAGTTAATTTCTTAGCATTTGATAGACTTCTATAGTATAACTTATATAGCTTTTTACTTTTTAATACTAAAGCTATTCACTTACCACATGTGGATATTTTGCTATTTTAGAAACCAGCTTTGCCCTTGTGATGTAGTATCTGGAAGTACGGAAGAAAGACAAAAATGGTCTCTTAACATGAAAGCGACTTCACATTTTAAAGACAAATCCCAAAGCCGGGATGTTCATATGAGATTGGGATTTCTGCAAGGTTCTGCAAACCTTGATATCTGGTCGAGGTAAGATGCAGCCTCTCCTTCAACTGTTCTGAGTTCAGCTACCGTCTCCTCCTGGATTGACACCCCAAAGTTGTTCCCATCCTCTATCCTGGGGATGAGGAGCTGAACCCACATTTTAACCTGCAGAAAGAGACAAATATAGCTAAGAAAAGAGGATGCAACATCTGACAAGTAAACACTTACGCCAACAGCATTTTAGCTGATGCCGAGCATGTGATAGTCATCTTATATAAATAACAAATTCAATACCCTTTGCTTGTTTTCGGTCCCAACTCTTAAATCTGTGCCTTGCTTCTCCTGTTTCATTAGTAAGCCTTCATTTGTCACACATTCCTAGCTTTGTTGTAAGTTCATGGCTCCTTGCTGGGGATGCCAAATGGCCAAAATAACTTACTTTAGAGCTCTTACTTACTGTGTTACATTTTTCTATGAGTGTCCTGATCTCGGGCTTGACCTTTTCAATAAGATCAACAAGGTTTGCATTACTCTTCATCATCCCATCAGGCATGACAAAGACCTTGGTGCCAGTCACTGATAAAGGAGTAAAAAGTAAAAAGTTAAAAATACATAAAATACAGACTAAATATTCAGCTAGCAAAGCTGTACTTACCCATGTCATCCCCACTTCCATCCTCCAGCTTCCTCTTTTTGGCATTTTGCTGTGAGAGAGATGCAACAGTTAGCAACAACTTCTCATCCTTGCCTTACCAACAGTTACTGTAACCATACGAAATCGAACTCTAAAATGGATCCTCACCGCATCTAGTCCGTCGTGGAGATTTGAGAACAAGATGGGATCTGGCACTGGCAGATTTATGTCTGAGTGAATTTCCTTCAGTTCAGTGATGTTTATGCTTGGATCCTGAAAAAAAAATGAGAATATTAGTTGTCAGACATGGTACAAATATAAATATACAGACATGGTAAGAAGAAAGCACATCTGCTGCCAAATCTAATCTATTTCACATGTCAGGACATCAAAAAAGATGATCTAGAAGGTTTGAAAAAACAGATGAATACAAACACAGAAGAACTACATATGACTTATGTAGTGACATATATAGTAATGTACAAGACTTCAAATGATTATGTCATTATGTAGTCAGCAATAACCAAGCGATAGGACAGAAGCAGTGTGAGAAAAAACTAAGACCACACCATGATTCAATAGCTTGTAGAACCACCTTTAGCAGCAACAACCTGAATGGTTTTCTGTATGATATCAGTCTCTCACAGGAGGAATTTTGGCCCACTCTTTATATGCTGCTTCACTTCATTAAGGTTTGCAGCTATTTACTAATACACAGTCTCATAAATCCCTGCCACACAAAACACCTTATTCTCTCTTTTTCACTCATTCTGTTGAAGATCATTGTCTTTTGTGACCCAACTTTAGCTGTTAAACAGATGGCCTCACATCTGAATCCATTTTAGGACAGAGAGGAGTTCATGGTCGACTCTGTGACTGGAAGGTGGCCAGGTCCTGTGGCTGAAGAGCCTTCTCCCAGCAAATCTTACAAACAAGCCATACTAGTCCAGTCTTTAATTGTGCTGTCATGCACTTTAACATTTCACATTCTAACTGAGGCCTGTAAAGTCAGAGATATAACTCTTACAAAAATTACATCTGAACATTGTATAGTGTGACCTTGGGGGTGAGTTAACTGCGATTATTACCAGCCATTTCAATGTTTTCCTCTTGTGAGCAACCTCCCTCACTGGAAAATGATGGACTTCAAATGGTTTGCTTTTATAGAGATGTTCATGTTTGCTGATGACCAGTTCGTAAAGTGAATTTGTTTAACAGCACCTGGGTGTTACTATTTTAACTCTGGACAACTGATAAAGACTGACTAATAAATAATGAACTTTAACGCCAAATAATACATCGGAAGGAATGAGTTTCAACTATTCACAAAGATTTTAAATTATGCCAACTTTATTTAGCTGAATGTACAATTAACTGACCTTGAGGAAATGGTCAAGTTCCAGTAACTTCTTTGGGAAAAAATTGGCGACTAGATCCTCTGCCTGGAAGAAATGTGCAGTGTTAGTGGAGTCTTGGACATCACAGTCATAATAGGTGTGTATGAAAGTGCTCATCAAATATACACATTTAGCTATACATATATAGAACCATCTATATCTGTGAGTTTGCACACTAGTTACACATCAGAAGGTTGGTAGATTTATCCCTTGTTCCTCCACTACATGTGTTAATGTATCCTTTGCCAAGATACTAACCCCAGTTGTCCCCAATCCATCAACTGGGGTGTGTGTGTGTGTGAATGTCAGATAAACAGTGCTCAAGTACAGATTAAAAATGCTGTTTGAATGTATGTATGTGTATGTGTGTGTGTGTGTGTGAGAGAGAGAAAGTGTGTGTGTGTGAGAGAGAGAAAGCGTGCAATTGGGTGAATGGGGCTTAATAGAAAGTGCTTTGAGTGCTCAAATAGAACAAAAGGTGTTATACCAGTACCAGACTGGTGTTTCCCCCTTTAGTAAGTTCGATTTAATTTACTCATAGCTGGACGCAGGCTTCCATTAAATAAAGAAGCAGACTTTACGCCATAACTACAGGCCCCTACAGGCCCCTAAAGGCTCGCTATGAGCCAGGATTAACTCCTGCATGTATATATTTTAATTTACAACGTAAGACAGAGACTTACTTCTGCGGTGATACGTTCCTTGAAAGCAGCGACCTGTAAACACAAACAGATATACGAGAGTTTGAATACCAAGTTAACAAAAAATACTCATTTCACGTCAGTAAACTTTATTTTGGTCCAGTTTTAAACACATGAGCGGTTCATCAGTGTGAGAGACAACCTCTAGCATTGGTAACTCAACGCCGGTGTGAACGGCAGCTGGCTGAGTTAGCTAACTTGGTAGCTCAGGCCTTCTTCAGTGCATGTGGTCGTAGTAGCAGCAACCATTTTCCCAGCACAGGGGGCTGTAAATCAAACTTTATCTAGATCCCCGTTACGCTTAGCGCCACCCTGACACCACACCTGGGGAAAGGTTTGACAGGTGTACTGCAGTAGGCGGGAAACAAGAAACCGGTTAGCCGGTAGCTGCTCTTAGCCTGGCCTTATCCGAGCTCCCACATCATGCTACTAAATGTGGCTAACATGCTAGCAAAGAACATGGCAACAACAACACGCAGTATAAACTCAACTGGAATTCACAAAAGGCCAAACCTCACCTTGGTTTTAATTTCACTATCCACCTTGAGGAGTGAAGACATCTTATGTAGTCGAATATGAGCAGAACGATTGTCCCAACAGCATTAAATTCACCTGTAAACGTGTGGCTTATCACTTGTCTGCCACACTTCGTGAGCTTAAAGATGACGACAATAAACATGCGACGGAGGCGGTGTTGCGACCGCGCTTGCGCGCAACGTCACCGTCTTTTTCTAGACGCAGCTGACGATGTAAACAAGAGAAAACATCCGAGGGCAGCGGGGCTCACACAGGCCGGGTTTCACGCAAATGATAGCCATTAAGCACCCATAGACGGCGGACATGGGGCTCCCTGTTACTATTAAAGTCAATTTCCGGGGGAACGTGAAGAGGTTTCTGGCTCAGGATATGGATAAATTGGAGTGGGAAGCTGTTGAAGTCTGGGTAAGCAGCTAGCAGAGTCTTGGCTAAACGCTGGCGCAGTTTAGTGAAAAAGTAGGCCTAGACGTTTTGGCCTAGACATATAAACAGAGCTCCCAAAGGATAATCGATGTTGTTACGACAATAACAATAATGTATTTGTAAATAATATTTTTTTAAGCCAACCGGAGCTTTACAAAATATAGGCACACAAGTGAGGACGTGCTCAGTTTGATTTAAGGTTACTACATATGTATAATACAGTATCCAGCTGTGGAGGTCTTTCTCACTGACTCAGACATGGGTCATGTTTTTCCTAACACGTGTGAGGAGAAAAACTGAACTGCTCTCAATTGTTCTGCGTTACTTTTCAGATCAAAGCATCATTTGGGATCAACCACTTTCAAGTGAAATACTTTGATGAAGACAATGAAGAGGTAGGGGATTGTGTACATTGCAGATTTTCAGTGCTAATGTTTTGGCAGAGTCCAAGTTCAGTTTTTAATTTTGATCTCATTTACCTTATATTTCAGATTTGCATAAACAGTCAAGGTGAGGACAATATTTAATTGCTTGTTTTCTATATATTTTATGTTGAATATGTTTAGGCTTAGGTCTTCCTTCAAAGGTAAATAACCAGGACTTTGTTAAAAATACATGTAGCCAGCATTTGGTTAAAGCTTGGTTTAATGTACTCAAAATTCAAATACATGTTTGATTATCAGATGGCTGAAAAATAGCATGAAATGGCACAAACCTCTGTTAACTAAGATAACAAAGACTCTTTTCCCTAACTACATCTTAACCCATTGTGCTTACATGTATAGTCACCCCCTAATGACCTGTTTGATCCAGGAAAGCTGTCCAACTGATAGATTCCTAACCTGATATGGATCTATGATAGATAATATTGGCATTCATAATATGTATTGTAGAAATTATGTCAAGTCCTGTCTTCAGAATTTACTTTGGTGGTACATTTACCTAAATACAGTGGACTTAGCAACAGCTAAACTGATGCTGAACCATTGAAAGGCCATGCAAAACATGTGGTCCACACAAAGGTGTTAAACAGAGTCATAAGGTAACACAGTAAAACAAATGGGTAATTCAATTGTAGGCTCAAACACTCCATGGTGTAGGCAACTGCCTTTTGGTTACAGGGATTGTGACCAACATCCTTTTCTGCATTAGTTATAAAATATGTGTGTCACGCAAACCGGTTTTGTATGCATTGTGTTGAATACTCACAGCTCTGCCTGCAGGACATGTAGCATAATATGCATAACAGTAAACAATGATGTGTGGAGTCAAGCTGTGTCTTTTAAGTTGTTAACTGGTTAACTGGTAAGTTAATACATTTGGAACCTAAACTTTTTGACCCTTACTCCTGGTGTACTCCTACATGGAAATATCAAAATACCGGGGAAAAATACAAATTTGAGTCACAAAATGTGAAGTTATTTACTGTTTGTTTGTTTTTTCCCCCCCACAGATGAATACGAAGAAGCCATCAAGGTACTGTAGCAGTGCTAGGTTTAAACAGAAATGACAGAGTAATAGCTTTTGTTACTGTAGAGCAGTGATTCTCAAACTTTTCAAAAAGAGTACCACCTCATAAAATATATGGCTCTTAAAGTACCACCCTTATGACTGACATTAAAGTGCAGTAGTATAGGGTTACTTAACAGCATATACAGTTTACACGAGACAATTTTATTTATTATATGAATGTTATTTATTTCAACTGTCATGAATAGAATAGAATAGAATAGAATAGAATAGAATAGAATAGAATAGAATAGAAAAATCCTTTAATTGTCCCACAAGGGGAAATTTGGTTGTAACAGCAGCCGGAACAGGATGTGATAATAATAATAACAACTGTACTGCATTAAAACATTAACAGCAGGCGGGATATCCAATCTTTAAGTGATGCTGTGATGAAACCTGCTTCTGGGTCTAAACTACTCTGCATTTATTAAGGCTCTTGTGTTTTTGTTGTGTATCTTGTTCTATTTAACCTGAACAAGCCCCTAAAAATGGCATTGATCACTGTCAGCCTCTCTCGGTTATTATCACCCCTGTTCATTTTAAAGCTCAGTTTTTAAAACCTTACCGTGTAACTACAGCCCAGCCCATGCAGCAGTATATTAATGACTAACCTCGTATTGTGGATGGATTATCTCAGTCGTTCTCCTGACTGAAGTTTGGTCCATTTCCAGCATCCTGCCATGCGATTGCATTTGTCCCAACCCATCGGGAACCCTCACGTTAACTTTTATTGAGTGGAAAAAAAGTTAGCGTTCATCCTCCAGCTTCACTGTGTTTATATTATGCTAACATAGCTGTGTCGCCGGATATCATTATATACCAGCTAGCCCAACTTCAGTAACCCTAAAAATGTCACTGCTGTTTAGTTTTCTGTCTTCATTTATGTTGGAAGTGATAGCAGAACTATTTTAATTTTTCAGAAATCTTTCAATCAGAACATGGTATATTATTCAATCTTTAAAAATATTTGGAGACTTCACGTGTACCACTAGAGGGAGCCCACGTACCACAGGTGGTATGCGTACCACAGTTTGAGAACCACTGCTATAGTATATATCCTTACATAGAGAACTTGCACCGTAAAACTACACTTAAGACATAAATAACACAACGGTGTCCTTAATTAGACTACTAAAGTTATAGAAGAACAAATGGTGAAAATAACAGAATATATGTGCAGTATATGTACTATGCATCTATATTCGCACCAGAACCTCTCGCCATAAGAACAGTTTCTTCCCCTCTGCTGTTGGACACATGAACAATAACCATATGACTGTCCCCGCCACTAACACATGACCCTACGCTGTGTTCACTGTATCATTCCATGTTTGGCACTGATCACCACCTGCACTCATGTATATATCTTTCAACGTAGCACTCTTAATTCTTATTCTCATGTATATATCTCATGTATATCTCATGCACATATCTTTCCACGTAGCACTTTTAATTCTTATCCCTACTTTTATTTTTTCCATGTCTATTTAAGTGTTATTTATGACACCATGTTTGCACTGAAGCACCGCAGCAATTTCCTAATGTTGTAAACCTGCTCAACATTTGGCAATAAACCCCATTCTGATTCTGATTCTATACACATCACGTTGCTACTGTGTCACTTGACTGCGGTTTGCATTCTATGCTAATTCTCCATGCAGAGTGCAGAGAAGCAGGGAAACCAGTTACACATGAATGTGTACAAGATGAAAGGACAGGCCTGTGGGGGCCCACTGAAGACCGAGGTGAAGGAGCTGAAAGGAGACCTTCGACCCGCTCCTCCTTACCCCTCAAGGGTTAAAACAGTGGACAAAGGCACGCAGGTCACCCCTGAGCGAGAAGCTGTAAGTAATTCTAGTCTTCCCCCCAACTTTCTTCTCCCTATAGATTCTCACATGTGCAGTGTCTTTGAAATCATTTTAATAAAATCGATGCCTCAAGTCAGTTAAGTTTTTGTGCCTGTTGGGGGAAAAGTTTGTGCTTCTTTATTAAAAGCTAAAATCTCTGATTTTGTCACTTAACTGAAGAATGGTGTATTTTCATACAGGTAGCAGTAAAAGATAACAAGGGGAACAAACCAGATGATGAGCCCCCTCCTATGTGGTTTAGATCATACATGGAGAAGGTAAAATTTAACCGCTGCTGTGAAGCAGTATTTTTACATTGAACATTTTATTTTTGATTTGCGATTAAATAAAATACTGTGCTCTGCTTCTGTTTTTCATAGTTTAAGGATGAGGTGGTAAAGGAGGTAGTAGAAAGAATGTGCAGCGACTTTTCTGTCCAGTGTTGTACCCACAAATCCCCTGAAGGTCCCCCTGAGGCAATTGGGGCTATTGGCGGTATTATGGGACCCAAACCAGGCCCCTCCACCTCGAATGGATCCCTTGGCTACACCCCAAACTGCAGCAGCTGCAACAAACTCACCTCTGAAGGAGCCTACAAGTGCAGGTATGCATGAAATTAACTCTAGTCATCACAACATTGCTTTTAACCATTTTTACATGTTTGGTGTTTTTTAAGTAGCTGTGTAAATGTTTACATTAATGTCTTTGTTATTTTCCCTGCCAGCGTGTGCCCATCCTGCATCCTGTGTGAGATGTGCAGACATAGCCATGACCCTAGCCACAACCTCGTGAGAACCAAGACACCTCTCTCCATCCCAGAACATGGAATGTCAGGGGAGTTAAGGTAAACAACCTAATCTGAGGATAACTCTGCATTAATGAAGGAAAATATGAATAGAAACACACACAAAGTGGGATTGTAAATTATTCTTGCAGCTAGATTACTGTAATTAATGACTTATCAATGGGAATTTTTATGATTTTGTTTTTGGAAAATAAACATTTGATAGTCCACAAATAGGTGTTCCTGATGACATTTTAAACCAGGTTCCCAAGGCGAGGAGACAGGACAGTGCGCAAGGCCGAACGACAGCGCCTCAAAGCAGAAAGAAGGCAGCTAAGAGCCGAAGTGAAGGAAATCAAGAAGAAACTGAGACTGGAGAAGAGGGGGCTGCAGTGGAGTGGGCCCTCTACCTCAGGAAGAGCCACTCTGACAAACATGGCCTCCACATCCACCCAGGTCCCTGCCCTGTCCCCTCCTACTGCCTCAGACACAGCCTCAGGTCCAGCCCCAGCCCAAGGTCCCATCCCTGCCCTGGTCCCTGAACCCCAGGCCTCCAGTCCAGAGTAAGAGCCACCTCGGAAGAGCGTCCGACAGTGCTGGGTACCTTGAACCCAGCATGGATGCAAAAAAGTCTTTTTTTCCAAGAAAAGAAATGAAAATATGCCATCTTTGTAATCTAGTCTGTATGAGTGTATCGCTGGCTGCTCTGGGTGGTGGAAATTGTTGGAACTACCTCAATGTGAAAACTGCTGCTGCTGCTTCATAGATTTTCTAAGAAAATTGCTTTTGAGCTGCAAAAAAAAAAAAAAAAAATCTGCGGTCCTGCTTTTTTGATTCGTAGAGAACAAAAGATGGGTATTATAAGAAACCAGGGCTTTTTTCAACAATGCTCTGTACACTTGAAACTAGGGGTCCCGGGGTCTCGCACACGTCCTTGGTGCCCACTATGGCTGCCTTGTTTCTGGATGAAAATCTGCCTGACGGCACCAATCTGGAGCCTGGTACCAAGTTCATCAAATACTGGAAGATGAAGAACACGGGCTCTATCTGCTGGACCTCAGAGACTAAGGTACCCCTCCCACTCGTCAAGAGGACAGGCTGCACTCTATCTTTCCCTCCTGCTTTACTTCCACTTTGAGCCCCCACTGTACTCATAGCCTCGTCTTATCCACTAACACCTGTTAAAAAATTTTACCCAGCGTAATACCACTAACGCCCTCTCTGTCTAAGATATTTATTATTTTAATTCAGTTAATCTGTGTTGTAGTTTAAGTTTGAAGTCTTTGTCATTGTTTGAATGGATGTGTGTGTATGTGTGTGTGTGTGTGTATGGGTGGGTGTGGGTGTGTGTGTGCCCCTGACTTGATTGTATGTATTCTTTTAGTTATGTGACTTTTTTGCATGCTCTCGTCTTTGTGCTTTTTCGCATGTGTATTCCTATTTTGTGTTTTGTGTATGTGTGTACGTGCACCCAGCTAGTGTTCATGTGGGGAAACCTCAGCTTGGCATCAGAGGAGAAGAGGGAGGTGCCGGTGCCCTTGCTGCCACCCGGACATGTGGGAATGGTCAGTGTGGCCTTAGTTGCTCCTGTGACAGACGGGACGTACACCTCCCACTGGCGCCTGGCGCACTGTGGGTCTCAGTTTGGCCCGCGTGTCTGGTGCAGCATCGTGGTCAAGCAAAGAGACAAACGCACCGGACTCAGACATCAGAGAAAACGACTGGCAAGTCTGCTATTCAGTAACACCCTGCACAGCTGCAACATGTGCACATCTAGATTATTGACTTAATTCAGGCTGTTAGTCGTGGACATGGATGACGCACTCTACATATTTCTCTGAAACAAACAGGATAATTATAGGGCTGTAACACCGTAACAGAAGCATTAAAATATTTTCTACAATCAGTTAAACTGGTAAAATGCATTTTAAATGTTTCCTGTTTGCTAAATGTGTGGATTTGCTTTTCATAACACAGCAAATATAGCAAGTTAGACCTCAGTCACACGGGCTTGGGGACCAGTGGATGACCCACAGGCGACCTGAGGGAAAAGTGCATTTTTCCCTACTGGTTGTTGGGTGGTTACTACTCCTTTTGATTTCTTTGGTTGCTAGCAGATTGCCATTGTTGCACAGGCTTGTAGCCTGGAAGATGCTAACATCTGTGCAAAGATTAGCCTTTTACTCTCTGAGCTGCAGAGAAATTTAAAAGAGAGAACAACTGTCTTCAAAGTAAAAGCTGTGCCTTACTGCTTCAACCATGACATTTTAAAGGGCGCAACTTTTACTTCATGTTCTCCGTTTACGGTTTGCGCGGTTTCACTGCTGCTTGGTGAGTAGTTTGTGAGTGTTTGCTTTGCATCTTCCATGCACACGACAACGCGTTGGCGACCGAAGGAATCACAAGGAGGTTTGCAGCAAACCACTGCCAACCATCTACGTGGTCACCAGTTTGTTTGTAGGCCTTGTGAAAGGAACTTTAGAAATCGATTTCACAACAATCACTCGCAACCGGTTTGTGAATAATTATTTTTTCTTCCGTGTAGGTTGTCCACCAACTAGTTTCCAGGCCTGTGTGACTGTGACCTTTTGAATAAATTCTAAAAATAATTGATAGATCAGTTACCAAATTAATTACCGTTTCTCAAAAAAGCTGGGCAGCTGTGCAAAATATCAGTAATATTATAATGCAATATATATTATAACATTAAGCTATATTTTTTAATCGAAAACAGTCCAGTAATATTATATCAAATGTTGAAACATTTTTTTAATTTAGTTTATGTGTGGTTTCATAGCGTAGTGGTTTACACCTTTGCCTAACAAGTATAAAAGTTCTGGTTCGATCCCAGGAGCGCATACAGATCCCTTTATGGTCAGGAAGGTTTTCCAGTGTAAAAAAACAAATCAAACATGCAGAGAACCACTGTGATGTCGCCAGAAACACATTAAAAAAAGTGAAGCAAAGTGCAACCAAGCACAAAAACATAGCATCACAGGCAGGCTGAGGTCTTTAGAAGTAAAAATGGGGCTACGTTTTACAATCCACCTGTAAGAACATACCTGCTGTGCAGGTATGTAAGCAGGTATGTGCACAGCAGGAGTAGATTGAAAATCACTGTATAGGCTCTTTGAGCCTCTTTAAAATGCCCTGAAGTAAAGTGGAAAACAGTCCTGTGGTCTTACCAATCAAAGTTTGAAAACCCAGTATACTTGATGGTAAAGACGGGCCTTAGTACACATGACTTGGGTTGTAATGCTACTGTGTACAGGCTTTCAAGACATGTGCTGATGTGACATGACTTTGTAGGAAGTTCTGTCCTGTGCAACAAAGGAACATCTCAGATCACATTCTTCATTACAGCTGCACGTCTTCATAGTAAAAGAATCTCCCCACTAAACCGGCCTGCCTGCTTTCCAGACCCGTGAGCCGTTGCAAACATTTGAAGCATAATGAAACAAAAAGTCTGACGTAGGAGGCTCTGGACTGCTGAGCTAGTGGATTCCTTTATTAGGCAAGAATAGGATCACTTTTGCTTTTAAAGCTTTTTGAATTGTGCTCACAGCAAAAAAAAATAAAAAATCTGTTTCAACATTTGACATAATGTCGTTGAGGTATTTTACAATAAATAGGAACTAATTTGTAAATCATTGTACATATTTAATGTTCTCTACTGCAGTATGTGAGCATGTGACTCTGTGTACTTACGATAAAAATAAAAAATTAAGAATAACACAGAATTAAAAAGCTTAATGCATGACAAAAGGTCATATTCTATAAACACCAGAAGTAAAATAAAAAAAAAATCATATTATGAATTGAAAAGTTTCAGTACACTTTAGTGACACTAACGATGGCACACTTGTTTGTCCTTCAGAAGAAAGATCTAAGACCACCGAAGGAAGAGATGAAGCCAGAGGAGAAGGAGGCGCGGGCCAAGAAGGGCCACACTGGCTTCTTGGCAGGCCTCTTCTCTGAAGACTACTACTTCCCACCAGTGGACTTCATGACTGCACAGGTGTGCACTCGAAAAGCTCAGAAACCTAAAACATGCTTTAAATTAGCTTCAGTCAATACTCCTGAAAGCTAGCAGCAAGGGCAATTTTTAATAAGGAAAATATGTGAAATCTGTTGAATAACAAACAGTACTTGGCTCTTAATTATACACAGAGCTTGGCAGAAGTACACTGGCACTTATTTTTATATTTTCCCTAATTTGTTTTGTTATTAAGGATCTTCTATCTTTTGAGTTGCTGGATTTAAATTTTGCGGACGACCTGGAAAAGGTTCCTCATAACACCCCTGCAGGTGAGTCACGTTTAATGCTTTAATACAAGAAGAATAACTGTTGTTATTCATTATCTGTTTTTTGAATAAAGGTTTTGGATGAACTTTGTTCTTTTCAGGTTTAACAGTTTAACCAAGTGAACGCATCAGGATTTAGAAACATAAACTGTGTCGTGTTTTCTCTTCATTCATTTCTAGATTTGACACCGTGTATATCCCCTCTTCCCTATTGCACTGTTGTGTTGGACAAGTCCAGCCCATCTCCCAAAAAAGAGGAAACGGAGATCTCAGGAGTCCGAAAACTTTTTGGTGAGGCGAATAGAGTAATAGAAGACACACAGAGTAATGTGTATTCAGTATGAATTCTTACAATTACTGGAAAACTAAGCCATGGGATGTTAGGAATAAAATTTAACATTTAACCCCAGTCAAGTCTGTCCCGTATTTAGCAAGTGAAAATAAAATAAAATAAAATAAACAATAAAAGGTGAATCAAATAGACCATTGCCACAAGGCTGGGATGGTCCATTTGGTAAAGTAAATCCGTGGGGCATCTTTCTTCGCCTTTAGACAATAATTCTGATGGCAAAAGAGCAAAACGGGACAGGCAAAAAAAAGGAATAAAATTTAAACTTTTGAATTAAAAGTATTCTTGCCTTAAATCAGCTGTTTAGAGGGCAGCTTCAGTCATTTTACACATTAGATTTCAGTTCAGGTTAAGCTCTTTGTACCTCTAATTTGATTTGGTTTGCACAATGAGTCTTAATTACTTACGCATGACTTATACTATATGTGTCGAATCTGCTTTGAGCCTACAGTGTAGTCAACACAAGTGCCTGACGGCCGTATTCTTGGATAGCTCAACACTTTTGCCACCAAGACACTAGCTGCTGGTGGAGTTTCGCTCTTTGAGTTCAATCATTATCTTCCAGTCATTAAAAAAAAAATGGTGGCGGTTTTCTGTGGAAGTGCACTTCAAACTTTAGTGAAGGTTTCTACAAATGTGTAGATTTAACACAGAAGCATTAATCATACTTAACATTTAAAATAAAAGTGTCTTTGTCATCCAAGATAGTATTCATCTGAGTGATGGCTGCTGGATCAACGCTGTTAAACTTTATCAGGAAGGAAGAAATTGCAGCCATCGAAACAAAGCGCACGAGCTGTTGATTAAAAATCAAGCCAGCTAATTGCTGTAACTGTCTGGTGGCTCACTGATCAGCCCACTCGAACCTTTCGTGATTTAATTTCTGGACTTAATGCAAGTTTATGGTGTTTGCAGTTAAATAGCCAAACAATATCACATGATTTGATTTAAAGTGTGATTTTTAAATCAAATCAAATAATTATTACATTTAAAAAATGTCATTTTTTTAAATTAAGTGCACTCCCATGCGGTTTAATTAGAACTAGGATGCATAAACTAACAACTGATTTAAACTAATCCTACAGCACCATCATGGCAGGGAGTCAAAATACTTGTATTATCTCAGTTATAAACCGTGGTAGCCAAAGTTGTAATTATTTTTGCCCATGGTGTCTTGTTTTAAAGTTTTAAAGACATAGTTGTTCCAAGATATGTGACTGAGGTTTGGTGAGAATGTCTTCAAAAGTCATTCTCATATAGTTTGGCTTACGTATATTTAAATAAATTCTTACTGTCCCGTAGGCTGTAAGAGAAGTGCAAAATTATTTATCTAATTGTTTGTTGGACTTTGCTAAGGACGGAAACTGAGGAATCTGAAGGAGGTGTTTACGCCTGTAGCCCAGGAGGAGGAGAGGGACGATGAGATCAGTGGAGCGCAGTTCCTGTGTGAGACCGTCATGCGATCCCTCGCTTTGGAAGAAGCCCCCGACCACAGACCCCCTCGCAGGCTCCAGCGCTGCGGCCACGAACCAAAGGGTGAGGAGCCTACCAGTTTATCAGTTGTCAACATCATCTTGTTTAATGTGCTAAGCTGTTGTTTTCGTGCTACTCTCACACGTTTCCAGTAGTTTCCCCGGTTCTGAACTTTGAGAAAACAGATGAGTCGGAGGAGACCGATGAGTTTCAAGAAGGAAATGAGATCGGCGCCGTTAAACCTGAAACTTCAGCTCTGCCTACAAACATAGGACTCAACTGGATCGCCCAAAAAGAGGAAACCAGGCCAAGTTAGTGCACAACATCTGGGGTTTTTTTTGTTTCTGCTTTTTTCTACCAAAATGTCTGTTTCTATTTGTATGTTATGGTGTGACCTCAATATCCAGATGTTTATTTTAGTCATTTCTTTCCTTCTTGCAAGTTTCTCCACCTGAACCAGAGAATGAAAACCTGCGTATGAGTTCACATCATAATAACGAGGACAAAGACTTTGAGGCCTGTGATGGTACCCAGAACGTGACGGATGAGCGAGAAGAGAAAGAGGAGGATGGAAACAAAGGGGAAGACTGGGATGAGGTGACTTGATTAGATCTAAATTATTGTAAGAGAGTTTGTATAGAAATTCTCATGTAATAATATCCTCATATTCTTCTCTTGTGCCTCAGATCAGCAGCCAGATCTCCTCAGTCTCTTCTGACGATTACAGCGTCATCCTCCCAGACTGCTTTGACACCAGCCGGCCTCTGGGGGAGTCCATGTACAGCTCCGCCATGTCGCAGCCTGGCACTGGTGCTGCTGCTCTGGCCTCAGACAAATCGGATGTAGAGCAGGAGGAAGAGGAAGAGTCCATCATGGAGCCGGGCAGGGATGCACTACTGGCAGAGAGGCAGGAGCTGACAGAGGTGGCCTCTGCTGAGGATTCACTGGGAAACGCTGGGCCTCCACTGGTCACTCAAATTAACAGCAGTGTGAACCAGATGCCCTGTGCCTCCCAAACTGTGGATGAGGTGACCTTAACCCCTGAAGTGGTGCCATTCCCTGACCCCCTGCTTCCCCCGCCGACCCTCTACTCACCCAGGTTAGATGGGGAACACATTTGGATGATAGATGATATGAAAGCAAAATGTTATTATTTTTTCCCTGCCAGGATTTTTCCCAATGCCCAGACTAGCCTCATTTTTAAAAAAAATAAAAGTTTCTGTATTATTTCAGGTCTGAGGCACTTTACCTGGCTGACGATCCCAGTTCTCCAGCCTGTGACCCAAATGAGCCGCATCAACCAAGAGTCCACCTCAATGGTGAGTATCACTGCCACAGCTAGGTGTAACTACATTAGATATAAATAACAGCACAGCTCACATTACTTAGGAAACACAATTTGCCCACTAAGCCAAGAAAGGAAGTTAGACTGCACACCACCTTTAAGGATCTGTTGCTTCAGCGAAGGGTTTTGTTCCTCATTTAACCTTTGTTTTCGTGTAATTTCCCTTTTTTATCTGTTCTGCAGTATCATCTGGTCTGTCAAGATCTGCAGGCTCAGCAGCCAGTGCCTTTGAGACATATAATCCCAGGCCCAGCAATGCTCTGCAGCCAAGGTACAAAAAAACAACAACGACTTATTTCTGTTGAATGTGCGTCTGTCTTTAACACGTTCATGTTTCATGTTATTGTTTGATCTATTAATATCCTGCAGGATCAGTAAAATTTCTTAGATATGTGGCATGCTGTCTGCGTTTCGTGACAGCGTGGCTAACTGTGCCACATTGCTTCCTGTAACACTGTTCTGTGTAAGGTTGTGTAACGACAGCGCTGTATTCGTTGCAGGGGCCAAGGAGGAATCACAGAGGGACTTGTTAAGGGAGCTCTTTCTGTGGCAGCATCTGCTTATAAGGCTCTCTTCACTGGACCGAGCTGTTCAGTAGAGGTATATAACACATCCTGCTGTTTAGAAACACTCACACACAAGCAAATATGCCAGAATGTATCATCTCTTCAAGGATTTAATGAGGATTGAAAGAAAATGTAACATCTCTGTTATACTCTGTATCTTCTTTTTTGCTATGATTGAATCCCATAAGGTACTGCACTAAAAATGCATCTAAGTTTTGTGTTATTTATTATTTTTGGGTTAATTAATTCTTACAGTCGCTATAATCAACAATATAATGGATCATGTGATTATTTCTATATTAAATCAGTGATCCATCCTCAAACAGTGATCCATTTGAAACTCCAGATTTTTCTTCTTTTACTCCGCTAGAGTAGCTTCGCGTAATTCACAGCTCACACTAATTATTATTTATTTTGTACTGGGCCTTGGTGGAGCCCCTTAATTCTGTAGAAGCCTCTTGGATGAGAGGGGAAGCGATCAGTAAAGTGTTTACTGACAGAACGAGGGCGCTTAGGGCTGCTTTCCCAGGGATTTCTGGAAGTCCTTCTGAAGCCACATGAGTGAAACCACAGAAAGTGCAGTTTTAGTCACAACAACCTCATAATCATAAGATACACATCCCTGATTATATTCCTCTTACCACCCTGCTTTGGTAAAAATTCACCCACGTTTCTCTTCTCTTTTCCAGCGAGGCATCGACCCAGCCACCACACAAGGCCCTTCCAAGATGGACCAGCTTTTGGAGATGGGTTTCAGAGACCAACGGATGAATCGGCGACTGCTGAAGAAGCACTTCTACAGCCTGGAGCACACCGTCGACGAGCTGGTGCAGTTGGCCGAAAACCGCCGCAACAGATATAACGTTACTTAGGAGTGAAGGTGGCAAAGATGTGAAAAGTCAGCGTTAAGGTTGTGAATTAGTTTGACTTTAAAACACAGTGTAAGGATAATAAAAATAATTGGATTCAATCTATTGGTTGAAGGTTGAAAGATAATTGGGATCAATATGAAATACCGTAGCCTTTATTTCTTAATTATAAGAGATAAATGAACATTCATTTGTGGCTGCTCCTGCCTTTGCCTTTAATTTAGCTTTAACATTTTGATACAGTTAACCACCAATACACACTCAGAAGTTATGATGATGGCGGTTAATCTTTGCCATGCCTACCTGGGCCTTAGAGCTCTATGGTGCTGGTCAAAAGGAGCAGGAAGTAACATCTGGACAGGACTAAAGTGTGTATTCCAACTCATCATCTTAGTGTTCGTATGGCCGTAGCAGCTGCTTCCTCATGCTGAGAAATAAGTGTATAGGCAGGGCTTGGCTGGAGTCTCATGGAGCACAAAGCTGTGAGAATGAAAACTGCTGAATGTCCAAACATGTTCTGAAAAGCCAGCGCTCGTGTACGATGATGCTATGAAGCTTTGTGAATCCTCTGGGGGTTAGGGGTAAAAGTGCAGTAATAAGAACAAGAAACACATATTTAAGACATTTCTTGATTATTGTAGTGAAATCTGCCTAACAATGCAATCTTTTTCTGTATCAGAGTACTGTTATTTTAGACGTTGACATGTGGAATGTACACAAAACTGTCCGAACGGATCACTGCTCAGATGCAGATGTTTCTGTTTTGTTTTTTATACTGCTGTTTAGGAGACACCTGCATGACAGGTAGAGGCTTTTAGAGACGAGTCGTGTTTTTCGTGATTTTTAGCACAGTTAGAATGGAAAACGTCCGCTTTGCGTCATCTGTCTTCATCCCTGCCTGCCTGCATCTCTGCTCGTTCTCATTTAAACACCAACTTTAACTTAAAAAATGTCTTTAAACACTAACTCAAGCAGAAACGTCTCTAACGACACATTCCTCAAGCTCATAACGGAAACAGAACCAAGTATGTTTTTATTTCGCTACATTTCCTGTTTTTTCCTTAGTTTACTGAAGGACACATGTTGGTTGACATGTTGACTGTGATGAGCGTCTGTCAGGTTTTAAGTTACTGTGCATCTCTTTGAATGATTTCGCCTTTTTGTGTGTTTGGGGTTTTTCTTAATCAGTATTTTCTTATGAATATGACTGTCCATGTTTCAAATCCATGCTCTAGAAAATAATTCTGACTATATCTACAATCTCAAGTTATTCTGTCACAGAATATATACATTAAACAATGCTCTGTCAATCTGCCAATAAACTATTTGCACATCCCTGTTGCCTGTCCAGTTAATGACACACTGCTTGTCTGTAGTATGTGTTTGACTCAGGTCATACAGCTTTGCATTCCCTGGGGACACTAAATGGTAAATAGCCTGTATTTATACAGCGCTTTACTAGTCCCTAAGGACCCCAAAGTGCTTTACACATCCAGTCATTCACACACTGGTGATGGCAGCTACATTGCAGCCACAGCCACCCTGGGGCGCACTGACAGAGGCGAGGCTGCCGGACACTGGCGCCACCGGGCCCTCTGACCACCACCAGTAGGCAACGGGTGAAGTGTCTTGCCCAAGGACACAACAACCGAGACTGTCCAAGCCGGGGCTCGAACTAGCAACCTTCCGATTACAAGGCGAACTCCCAACTCTTGAGCCACAATCGCCCCATAAACCACCAGGAGCTCTATAAACCCCGATTTCTTTAGAAGTAACAGTACTTAGTGACTTTACAGTTTAATGACTCAGTGTTAAAACTATGTTAAAATGCATATTACTATGCTGTTTTTGTAAACTTCCTTTGTGTTTCAGATGCAACTACAAGTTTTATACAGCTGTAATATTTACACAGTAAACTGCCAATTTTTGCATAGAGATTGTAAGAAAAGGGAAACAGATGATCAGTTAAACTAGATGTACACTCACTAACGCTTTATTAGGTACACTGTGGCATAGATTCAACAAGGTGCTGGAAACATATCTTGGAGATTTTGGTCGACGTTGACATCATATAAGTTGCTGCAGATTTGATGCCTTCACATCATCCAAGACTGTTCCACCACATCCCAGCGTGCTCTACTGAAGATATGATAACTGCAGAGGCCATTTGAGTACATTGACCTCACCGTCATGTTTAAGAAACCAGTTTGAGAATATCTGAGCTTTGTGTCGTGGAGAGGTAGAGTCAGCTGAAAGCAGCCATCGGTTAATATAAAATAAGACGGGTCTGTTTGTTTATACCCATTTCTGAGCTTTCCGTCTAAATCCCACAGCAAATATTCAAATTCATCAGAATGGACAACATTTTTCTAACCTTCTGTTGTCCAATTTCCAGCCTCATGTTCCTGTTCTTAGCCAACAGGAGTGGCCTTCCATGTTGTGTTTCCTTCTCTAGCCTTCTGCAGCCTTCACTACAAGGTTCAACATGTTGTGAATTCAGGGCATTTTCTGTAAACCTTAGAGATGGTTATATGGGAAAACTCCAGTAAATCAGTAGTTTCACTTTTAAAATGAATTTCTTTAGGATCTCATAGAGTCGGTTTTCATATAATGAAGATACTGCTAGAGGTCCAGCACAGGCCCGCACACATCTGCCACTCTAACTGACTCATTTCCTGTTTTAATACATTTTCAAAGACTAATATTTCATATCAAACGCTCACATGCCGCCCACTCAAAACCTCTTCTCTATTGAAACTAGCAACTGCATCCAAAAGCTGTGCCAGCCGGGACAGTTATAGTAAACTGAACTGAAATCTGTGGGTCAATTATGAAACAGCAAATATGGTGGGAGAAGGGTAACGTCTCTGTCAAATATGGAGTTGTGTTTAAAGGTTGTGGCCACTTGTACAGGATTTGACTGTTTAAAACGTTTGCTAACAAAGCAGGGCATCTGGCAGAGTGGAATGAAATAAGGAACCTGATGCCAGAACACAGAGAATATAGCATAAACAGGTTGTGTGTGTCTAGTGTGCTTAAAGGTGTAAAAACACAACACAAACATACTGTTAAGCCCCAAATGATTCACCCGCCTGCCGTATTTAGGTTTAAAGTCATCTTGTGACATTTTGGAGTGTCCCGCCTTACTCTGATAGAGAATCTGCAGGGAGTTGGAGATTATGGTGTTGACAAAGACGCCTTCCAGCCAAATCCCAGAAGAAACCTGCAAAAAGCTGGTCAGCAGTTTTAAAATTGGTTTGAATGCTTGAACACCAATAAAACTTTTCCACTGATTATTGAGAAGAGTACAAATAATTTTCTAATTGCCATTTTTACTCCTTTTACATTATTCTGTTATATTTTGAGAGATACCTGCCTTGTTTCCTACCTGTTTAAATTTAAATCTCTACTAGAATCTAGATCTTTCAGAATAATTTGGGGCTCATTTTATTACATTTAGGCTATGTTTTTATTATGAATTCCTGTGGTCTGTCTAGCTACAGAAATGTGTTTTACTAGAAGAAAATAGGGAGTTGTTTTGTACTCAGAAAGGTGTATTTTTGTTTCCAGCAGACAACTTTTGGAGATGTACAACAATCAGGGCAAATTACATTTTTACAGGACGTCTGGAAACCGACACAGAGCAGTTTGCTTGTTGAAGAAGTTTTATATTGAGTATTAAAGTTTATGTGAATCGAGTTCACACGTGATTATCCTCTTATTGGGCAAAACGTCCTCGGTTTGAGATAATCCGAAACCACGTGAGAACAAGAAATGTAAATCATTTTCTGTTGTAACCCACAAACTGAACGGTAATGTGTTTCACAAAAGTAAAACGTCACTATTCCACGTCTAGTTGTTTGGAGCTGGATCTCCCTGCCCAGTGCGCGCTCCCGACGCAGGGGAAACAAATTCGGTCGTGAGTAACGACCATGGCACGACACAACGTTAAAGATAGTTCACGTTAGCTGATATGCAAATTATTGTGTCAGCACCCAGTTGAATAGCTTATGGTATGATAGTAGGTCTGGATAATAGCACATGTGATCAGGAAATGAGTGACACATAAAAAGACAAGGAAGTGTTGCACTCAGTACATTGTGTGTATATGAAGCAGCTGCACCACGGTCTTAATGTAGCTTCTGAAAAAGCTGAATCATAAAGGAGCTAGCAGCGTTTATGTGCTCATCCTGAATGATATTTGGACTTATTGTGAGCTGTGAGGTGAGTTTGCAGAGGATGAGGTTTTTAACTTAATTTGTATTGCATATAAAATTGTGATTTTGTTAAATTAATAATACATTTAATAATTTTAGACTTCAGAATCATCCATTACGTGTAGGAGTAATACTTTCAGTCGTTTATTTCTTAATTAGTGTTTAAATACTTGTTTACACTCAAGCCTTGCACAGTAACGATCAGTCTTTCATATACAGCAGATACAATTTGTAATCTCCACTCACAGAAAACTGAATAAACCATTTTATTGTATTTCAAAAAAATTTCTTCACTTATCTAGTTGATTATATCTAAAGTTTATAGAGTCACAGGATACTGAGTAATAGAACAAGCTATTTGCGTTTTCATATAGAAATAAGTTTAAAATATGTAATTTAAAGGCAAAAATTGTAATTCATATTCAGCTTATGACTGAGTGCAAACTGTTTCTAAAACACAGAGCACACTGTTGTTTTAGTGTGGCTTTATGGAGACTTCCTGCATACTTGTGCCTCCGCAGGACAGCACAAACCAAACACAGCAAACCAGTTTAACATCTGTCATCTGAGTTCAAATGTCTTGACTTCTTCCTATCTATCTATCTATCTATCTATCTATCTATCTATCTATCTATCTATCTATCTATCTATCTATCTATCTATCTATCTATCTATCTATCTATCTA